CCATGCTTGCCACAAAAGGCGACTATGCTTGTCGTAAGAGGCGACTAACAGGATCGGGTGGTCAGGCTCGCTGACTTGGTTGACACATGTCATCGGTTCCCAATTATGCCGATCGATGATCATGCTGTTGATCACTGGATTGTCTGGTCTAGACTCGATTATTAACAGACCGCCGCCATATAGCTGGAATATTGCTGAGTGCGGCGTAAAACTAAACTCACTCACTCAAGATACGGAGGGAATTCAAAATCGTGAAAAATAGTGTTTCACATTGATTTTTTAAGGCATCGACATTGGTGACAGTTCTGAACATCATGGCCTGGACGGATGCCATATGGGCTGGCATGGAACTAACTGTGACAAAGAGTGTCAAAACTGTGACTCGGGTTGGTGCAACAGAACGACAGGTGTTTGTATCCAGTGTCAAGCTGGCCATTACTCCACAAACTGTTCACTGACATGTCCGCCTCAGTGCAGAGAGAGCTACGGTGACAGTGTCTTCTGTGACCGTTCAACAGGAAACTGTCTGGAAGGCTGTAAACAGACATGGTGGGGGGATCAATGTGAACACAAGTGTGGAGAACAATGTACTGATTCACAGTGTTTCTTCTATGATGGTTCTTGCGCCTTTGCTTGTAAGGCTGGTTTTACCGGGACTCACTGTAACAAATCCTGTTCAGCTGGATGTTTGGGCGGCAGTTGCGGTCAGCTGAGTGACATTTGCCTCAGTGGATGTAAAACTGGCTTCTACGGACGAACCTGTGACAGAATGTGTAATGATAAATGCCTTGGCAGAGATTGCAGTACATTGTATGACAGAGACAAGCCAGCCTGTACTCGTGGCTGTGTACCGGGCTGGAAGCCTCCCTTCTGCGACATCTCGTGCCTACCGAACTGTTTATCCTACAGTGAAGCTGGGGTGTGTACATCATGCAAGAAAGGGTTCACCGGAAGCAGCTGTGACAAGAGATGCAATTGTCGTTCTGGTTGTAGCGATGGCGAAATGTGCGGTGGATGCACCGATGGATGGTGGGGACAGACCTGTGAGTTTAACTGCTCTGAAAACTGTCTCAGATGTCAAGAAGAAAGTGGCCACTGCACAGCATGTCATCAAGGGTTCACATATGATGGACGAAGTCAGTGCATCCGCATGGCCCATGGTAACTGAGCTCATTAATACATGGTTTGACTGTCCATTGTTTTACTTGATAAATGTATATGCCGTATTAATCATCAGAGTAATGGGGCGAGTGGGTAAAAGGTTGCATTCAGAGTGAGATATTGCTATTTCTTCATAATCATTTATGTAACTACAAATGTCAGATTATATTGTGGTGCACGTGAATCCATTTTCAGTTTCCTATGACTCCATGAGAAATAAAAGCGACAGAAACTTCATATATATAAAGATGCTTCCAGATGTTCATATATAATCATAAGAAATCTCTACTATAAGCCCAAGTAACGATATTGACCATTGCATGTGTATATTGTCGGGAAATCGCCATATAACATACGAGAGTAGTAATAGTGAGTGAGTGAGTTTAGTTTTATGCCGCTTTTAGCAATATTCCAGCAATATCACGCCGGGGGACACCGGAAATGGGCTTCACGTATTGTACCCATGTGGAGCATCGAACCCTGGCCTTTGGCGTGAGAGGGAACACTTTAACGACTAGACTACCCCACCGCCCCGAGAGTTCAGTGTGTCAATGAATAAATAGATCATTATTCATAATTTCAAAATTTACATATATTCCTAACTATTTTTGTCCAGTATAATAGGAGATGAAACTGATGCATGGCTCAAACATATACTTTATATTTTAAGCTGTCCCATTTGCTTTTCTTTCACAGAACCGACCGCCATTCAGGTACTGGCACATGTTTCCACAATCATTTCTACAGTTGCTGTTCTGACGGTAATCGCAGTTACAATCGGAATTTATGTCATGTAAGTTGTTGATTTTCAATTATCTGAAGTTTCGGACAATGTGCTTTTATTACCTAGACACTACGTATATATTACCGTTTCGAATGTGACAGAGAATTTGGATGCCTCGAAAGTTCATTTGAAACGTAATGGGTTCATTCATCGTGAAAATGTCCGCAAAAGATCGCAATGCTTACAAATACAAGCAATCAGATTGCGTTTCTACAAATACTTTCGTGCCATCATTTAAAAAGAAAACCAAACATACTCATAAACACCTTTATTTTTGTAAGCATTACCTTACACGACATACTTATTACTGTGTATGAAATAACCCAAAATCCAATTTACTCAGATGGTTGAAACATGTCATATAATTTTTTTACCAGACCATCGGGCTGGTCAGCTGTAAATTTAAATATAAATTTAGACCGTCCGTCAGAAATCTAGCCCGTCTCGGGTGGTCGGACGGGCCTTATTTCATACACTGCTGGGGCGGTGGGGTAGCCTAGTGGTTAAAGCGTTGGCTCGTCACGCCGAAGACCCGGGCTCGATTCCCCACATGGGCACAATGTGTTAAGCCCATTTCTGGTGTCCCCCGCCGTGATATTGCTGGAATATTGCTAAAAGCGGCGTAAAACTAAACTCAGTCAGTCAGTCATACACTGCTTATTACTGTGTCACTCTCGATATTGTCTTTCTTATGCAGATACCGAAGACGTCGAGTCCCAGCAGAATCTGAGAACGTCCAGGAACGTCTTTTTCTGTCGGGGCAGGTTGCAGTGAATGAATACATTACTTGACAAGTTGTTGTCATATAATATAATTCCGGTAGAATGTCTTTTTCTGTCGGGGCAGGATGCAGTGAATGAATACATTACTTGACAATTGTCTTTCTTATGCAGATACCGAAGACGTCGAGTCCCAGCAGAATCTGAGAACGTCCAGGAACGTCTTTTTCTGTCGGGGCAGGTTGCAGTGAATGAATACATTACTTGACAAGTTGTTACCATATAATGTTATATGAATCATCTAAGTACCTGGCAAAAAAATATAGTGTATCTTTAAATTAACCAACCGACAGTTTAAGAATATTCAATGTCTCCTGGTTAGAAGTTCATAATTTTTTAGTCTTTACTAAATAGTAATAAAACATCATCATCAGACATTGTTTCGTTTATCATTTCCGTGACATATTTTATTTCTGATGATGTTGTAGGAGGTACATTCAAATGCAAAGATGTGTTAAAAACCAGTCTGCCCAGGCAGGACGTCAATGTCTCCTGGTTAGAAGTTCATAATTTTTTAGTCTGTACTAAATAGTAATAAAACATCATTATCAGACATTGTTTCGTTTATCATTTCCGTGACATATTTTATTTCTGATGATGTTATAGGAGGTACATCCAAATGCAAAGATGTGTTAAAAACCAGTCTGCCCAGGCAGGACGTTATCGATTGTTGACATGTCACGGCCGATCGATCTTTGCACCAGGGCAATTAAAGTGATATATTTCAAGATGGAATCTCATGAGCCATGCCCTCTAATTGTTTATAAAAATCCAATCTCATATGTCTAAGGAACAGTTTCTTTCCCGGGGCGAATATGCCACAGGGAAGTCTCCATACAGAGAGATAATATAAGCGACGCAGATAATGTATGCACCGAAAACTTATAAAAATACTCCAGTCCGTTTGACTTCATTTTAGACCGATGAATTGCTTAGTAACACAAAATCCAATGTTTGCAACAAAACCACATTTTGCACAGTCACATAAAATCAACAGACCAACTCTGATAATTTGTCTCATAATTTTGGACACTAGAATAAAAAAAAGTTGTTTAACAAACGATCATTATTTTGTTGTCACATTTCACTATTTCTAACGAGGGGGGACCACTTGATGGTAGAACAGCCAGGTAATCAACAAGCGTGTGCAGTGAAATTTCTACCAGCAAGTGATCCACCCTCGTTAGAGAAAGCGAAAAATGGCAACAAAATAATGAGTTTGTCAGTTTGCATTTATATGCCGAAATAATATTGCCGAGTGCGGCGTTAAACAGCAAAGAAAGAAACTCTTTCAAACGGCACTTAGTTCCACCTACTTCAGACCTGTGAACGTCTTCAGTAACCCATGCTTGTTGTAAGAGGCGACTAGCGGGATCGGGTGAACCAAAACAGGTTAATTCGAACCTTTCCGGTAGAATACCGCAATCGTTTGTATTGTCATTAGGGGCGGTGTGGTAGCCTAGTGGTTAAAGTGTTCGCTCGTCACGCTGCAGACCCGGGTTCGATTCCCCACATGGCTACAATTTGTACTAAACTCACTCACTCAGTAATACCTTGAGGTTAAAGGTTTCTATGTTTTAACAAGCGTTAGAATAGGCATCTCCCTGTGGGATCTGTTTTACCAAAAATGAAGGGTGAGTCAGTGTGACTCAGTGTTGCAGCTGTTATAGGAATCATGTAAACCATTTTCTTGTCTGTTCCATTGCAACTGCTTTGTATGCGTAATTCTTTAAAACTTCGAGAGTAAGTCAATGATAGAATGTAATGTTGCATTTGTTTTGTTTTTTCATTTTGACGTACATTGTGAAACATCAATTGGACGTAGTATGCATCCAGGACTGAATCAGTTGGTGATGTTTAAATGACAGTGATAATATCTCCCATGACGTCCTGTATTTCTACGACGATGGCGGAATCCATTAAAACCTTCATCGATGAGCCATGATTTCCTTTTCTGTGAAAATATATAACTTGTCTCGACAAATAATGACGAAATAGGAATAAAAAGGGAGACGAGACTGCAAGAAGTATTTTATCTAAACAAGTAAAGTGAAAATTACACAAAATCCGCTTTGTTCGTTACTCTCGTTCCAACGTCTACTTTTGAGGAAAATACAATCAAACGGGAAAAGATACTGTATTATGTCCATTTAACCTGATTAACTATACCCGAAAGGAATTTGGGCTCTGGTTTCAGAAACGAAATCTACAGTCAAAGGGACAAACAATATATCCTGAAAAAACGACTTCCCCCAAAAAAAATAAAAAATAAAAAAAAAAAAAAAAAAAAAAAATAAACAAATATATGTAGCCATCAATGGAAAAGTCACCCCTAGCAAAAATAAATGTCTATAAAATTGTTCCCGATCTACAATTAACTCTGGTTCGATTGCTGAGACTTGCAGTTCTTTAACTTAAAAATTCCATGGTTCTTACATAAGAGCCAAAAGGTGGAAGCAATGGTCGATCCTCTTCAGGTGCATCTACTCCTTCATACAGACAGTAAATACACATAGAAGATACAGCAGCACGTTTAGAGTAGGGCATCCTGATGCTCCTGTGATGTTCTGAGGTCCGTTGCAGAGGTCGGTGGAGTTGCACAGGGTGACGCACACCTGGTAGCCACGGTTGTCGTAGCCGCAGGTGGTGAAGTTCGAGGGACTCAGGTTCTTCAGGATTTTCAAATCAAAGGAGAACGTACTTCCGTCAGAACAATCCCGGATGTAGCTTAAAATAGTTCCGGCAACTGTGGATAGAGAGAATGTTGAGAAGACGAGGCATTGAAACAAGTGGTATATATTTCTATGATATTTCCAGGCTGCCGCACTGTCCCAAGTGGCCACCAAAGTGACTTCCGTCTAACACCGGAAGTAAACTTACACAGTGACGTTTGTGACAAGATATTTTATATCAATGTCTTAAGATATGAGCTGGACGGGCGATCGGCCTAGTCGGGTGGTCGAGTTGAGAAAGCGGTCGCCCGTCACACCCAAGACTCGGGGTCGATTCCCCACATGAGTAGAAAGTATAAAGCCCATTTCTGGTGTCCCATGGAATATTGCTACAAGTAGCGTAAAACAATAGTCCTTTACTCACTCTAAACTGGACCAACTAGATCAGTGGTACCAACGAGACATGGCGCCACCATCTAAAATGATCTAATCTAGTTAGACATCTTACTATCTGACTTTTGTCTCTTCATGTTTCTGTCAAATTAATGTTTTTTTTAACTTCAAAATACTGTAGTGTGGGACTATGGCACTGGATTGGGTGGTCAGACTCAGTGTTTTCCAAACCCCGATAGCATAGTGTGTTGCTCATAATATCACCCCTGGTTTGTCAGTCTGCATTTATATCCCGAAATAATATTGCTGGATGCGACGTTAAACAGCAAAGAAAGAAACTTTTTCAAACGGCACTTAGTTCAACCTACTTCCGACCCATGAAGATCCGGGTTAGATTTGATCTTCAGCAACTCATACTTGTCGTCTGGCGGCAACTAACCAGATCGGGTGGTCAGGCTCGCTTACTGGTTGACACATGTCATTGTATCCCAGTTGCGTAGATCGGTGCTCAATCACTGGGTTGTCTGGTCCAGATTCGATTATTTACAGACCGCCGCCATATAGCTGGAATATTGCTGAGTGCGGCGTAAAAATAAGCTCACTCACACCACCTACTTCCATTCCGGACCTCTTCAATCATACACATGGTTCTGTTGACGAAGGTGTCGCAGTTCTTGTAATGATTAGCCTGACTTCCGGAATCGTCCACAATGACGGCGCCAGTGTTATTTTTGGCAGCCAAGACATGTCTGGACACTTTCAGAAAGTTGTCATGTCCGTTTATACACTCGCCTTTGCCACCAGTTGCACTGCACTGATAGCACAGAAGACTATCTGAAAACAGTTTTAATAAACGTGTTGGGTTAACTGAAACAAAAGGGGTTTTCCACATGGGACTTCATTATGATAAGAGAAGCAGTAAATGAACATCCTTAAATTTTTTCTTTTAATATCCCAGTTGATTAAATTTAAAACACGCCCCCCACGAGGTAAAATTGATTACCAAAAAGGTCTCAAAAGTCATAAAAATACCGGCCAAAAATTGATAATGAAGTTTTTACACCCAAAGACAACAAACACACTGTTCATTTGCCTCGGGATATAAACGTATGTCATAAACTGACACACAAAAGAAACTACACACTTTGGAGTCATTTTCCCAAAAATTCAAAACCCCATACTTATGATTTGAAAAGCTAAAAGCATTGTGTACATGGACAAACACCAGGGCCTAGATTTTCGACGCCCTCTTTAGCGCTAAGATAGTCGTAAGTTAATGTGTGTGTTACTTTATTGCGTACGTGACCGCCTCCGTGGTGTAGTGGTTAGAGCGTCTGCCCGGAGAGCGGAAGGTCGCGGGTTCGATCCCCGACCGCGTCATACCAAAAGACGTTAAAATATGGTACTTGTTGGTCCCCGCCTGGCGTTTGGGATTAATGGGTACAACAAGGACTGGTCGGCTCGAAGTCAGTATAATGTGTCTGAGTGGGTATTCATGTTACACTGCGGCATGGTATCTCAGTGGGCTAGCACTATAAAACCAGCTTCAGTGTGGGCTAGTACAAGCAGCCGCATCTACACATACACGCGCATGCACGTCGTCATATGAGCGAAATATTCTCAAGCGTGACGTTAAACCCAATTTCACCTCACCTCACCTATTGCGTACGTCAGCATATTTTGACCGTTGTAAATATGTTATCCATGGTCGCCCTATACGCGACAATTCTTCAAATGCGACAGCTGGTTCGGTTACTTCTTTGCAAGTTTTGACTCGGGTTTGTAAGGGCAACAACGCTGAGATGTCCCTTCTAGGATTCCATACATCAAACATGCCCGTCCCGCGCAGTGTGCAGAACACGCAATAGTAATCACCAATGGCTTCTTGCCAAGCAGTAACCAAGGTTAAGCTGCCATTTTCAGGAGATATCTTACAACAACGAAACTGATGTATATATTTTATACACAGACTAAACCGGCTGATATCGCTGTTTCCAACCATAACGTTATTGAACCCTTTATTGTAGATATCCTAACAGTTGGTATGTACTTCTGTTTACACATTCCTCGAAACTCGTTAAACCAAATCGTTACGGTTCACAGTTACGGATTAGTCACGGATATTTAAATACAAATAGTTACCAACAGTTAGAAGCTGGGAAGAGTTGAGCAAGTGGATTTTCCATAAATTTGTTGAGGCGTGTTTATATTGTGTTGTGTATATTTTATTTATCATACATTAGCTTGATATATGCGTTAGAACCCAGGAAGTGTGGTTCTGCGTAATAACGGTATGGAGAAAACCGATTTTCCATACATGTGTTGACATGTGAGTATATTGTGTTGTGTATATTTTATTCATCATACATTAGCTTGATATATGCCTTAGAACCCAGGAAGTGTGGTTCTGCGTAATAACGGTATGGACAAATCATATTTTCCATACATGTGTTGACATGTGAGTATATTGTGTAGTGTGTATTTACTCCATGATAAATTAGCCTGATATCGGCGGGAAATGACAAATGTATTACTTACCTGTAAAGGGCAACACTCCGAGTAGACAAATGAAGATGAATATTGTGATAGCCATATTGTATCGTTCCACTTAAACAAACGTTTCCAAATGACGACCCAACTGCGCAATACTGGACACCGGGTCTTCTCGATTGCTTCGTTAGATAGAGGGACTTCTCCTAAAGCTAATCAGAAATTGGAATCAAACTAAAAACATAGGATCCCAAACTGTAGCTGTGCGTTGTTGTGTTCGATGCAATAAGCAGATCATATGTAAATATATGTCTGAATCCACTGCAAGACTACTTCACTGACGGCCAGCAAGGTGAAAGAGGGTGGAACAAGGAAGTGATTGGATATGAGTTCTTGTGCGAGGACTAAACGTTAATGGTGCGTAAATCGAATAAGAGAAAAAATATATAAATAATGCCTCTTTAGTGTTGGAAATGAACTGGCGCCAGTCATGGATGTTTGACTCGATTCAAAACGTTTTAAAAAAGACCCCAAACATTATGCATATTATTGTTATTTCAACAAGGGCTGCTTGGTGTACATTTCGATACAAGATTAAGTGTGTGTAGAGCCCAGCTGGTTTGGTTGACCTGTTGAGAACCAAGACGAATCCTCGCAGAGACGACACAAGCACGCAAACTGCCAAACTCCAAGGCATGGTTTGTGTGGCTGATTGGTCCGATCTGCACGCGATCATGCAATCTGATACCAGTAATATGTCTCCTGATCACCGGCGTATTGTGTGGGGACTGCCAAGTCTGTCTCGTATGGGCTGAATGATTTCAACATGTTTGTATAGCCGACAGTTTAGTAAATGTAAAGTAGGTAATTATTAGTGTCTAATGTGTGCACATGCGACGTGGTCCAAAAACGTAAACGTGTCATTGAAGTCATTTGTATCGTTAACATCACTTGATAATTGAAGTCACTTGTGTCGTTGACGTCACTTGGATCATTGAAGTCACTTGTATCGTTGACTTCACTTGGATCATTGAAGTCACTTGTATCGTTGACGTCACTTAGATCATTGAAGTCACTTGGATCGTTGACGTCACTTGGATCATTGAAGTCACTTGTATCGTTAACGTCACTTGGATGATTGAAGTCACTTGTATCGTTAACGTCACTTGGATCATTAACGTCACTTGGATCATTAACGTCACTTGTATCATTGAAGACAACCCCTGAAGATCCTGGTTAGAATTGGTCAACAGCAACCCATGTTTGTCGTAAGAGGCGACTAACGGGATCGGGTGGTCAGGCTCGCTTACTTGGTTGACACATGTCATCGGTTCCCAATTGCGCAGATCGATGCTCATGATGTTGATCACCGACTTGTCTGGTCCAGACCCGATTATTTACAGACCGCCGCGATATAGCTGGAATATTGCTGAGTGCGCGTTGAACAACAAACCAACAGTGGAGTCATGGTATGGTCATGGTCATTTCTCGGAGGTTTTTGCTTGTTGTTCAATTATTGGTATGAACTGACACATTCAGGTTTAAGTCGGGGTGGGGCGGCGGTGTAGCCTAGTGGTTAAAGCGTCCGCTCGTCACGCCGAAGACCCGGTAGAATTCGGTCAGTCTGTTGCCTGAATTCCAACGGGGGCATAGCAGCAAGGTAACACGCAAGTTCAGACAACTGGACACAAGGTCACGCATTCGTCACCACTCGCCCCTTTCCGTAACCTCCAAGAAGGCGCTATTCGGCTTGTCCCGGAATAACACGAGTGGGTCACGAATGAACTGCTATCATGGTTCCAACTGAGTGTATTTCTGACGATCTTGCGGGCTCGTTATGGAGATTGTACGTGCGCTTCGACCAATTTTAGGAAATGTAATTATAATCGCTACGAGTTTCAAAACAATAATACCGTATTTGTATGTAACTAATCAACCTTAATCTTTAACATTGGGCTTATATTTCATAGCTCTGGGGATATTTTAGTCTGAGTGTGTTTTTGGTCATTCATATTTTTTTCAGCGAATACATTTGAAATTCCACCAGGGGTGTGACAGCAAGGTTACATGAATGTTCAGTCTGGGAAATATTTTAAGTCTTTTTTGAGTATCTGCTTTTGGATTTAATGTAGCTGAAATTTATTTTGTGTATATTCAATAAAACAATTCCCATTTGTGATGATTAAACCCTATTAAGAAAATTAACATAATTGGAAATATAAGGTGAACCGCTGGTAATTACATTAGAATATGTCTTTAACAAATATGTTTTTCTCTTTCAAAGTGGTTTAATTCTTTAAAATAAATAAGTATAAAAATCCCCAAAACAACAACCTAGCAATGTGCTTCGGTGATATTCAGAAACATTAGAATCAACCAGGGATAGAGTTGTCGTTCTTGTTTAAAGTAGTTCTGATGTTCATGCGCCAATATGAAATCCTTCCAGAGGGGCACGAGTCGCTATTCGGCTTGTTCCGGAATAACACGAGTGGGTCACGAATGAAGGTCACGCTATGACTCTCTAAAAAGGCTTCAGTTTGAGATACTTTTCAATGTCATTTTTGCGTATCTATGTTTGGACTTACTGCTGAAATAAAATGTTATTGTACTTGCTTCACCAGGAAGAAAAAGAATCCCATTTGCGATACTGAAACAAGTACTTAGAAATATACATTTGGAAATATAATGTGGTAACAGCTGGCAATATTAACAATAGACTATGTTTTCATCAAATCATCATCATGATTATTGTTTAAAACAGGTTTAAAGTTTTTTAAAAGCAACAGTTTTAGAGTGCTTCAGTAATTTTAGGTACTTTTGGAATCAGACCGAAAGGGAGTTATCGTTCGTTTTTTTAAGAAGTTCTAATGTTCATACACCAAAATTAAACCACCCACTCACTCACTCAACCACCATCATAACCACCCATCTACTCACTCACCCACCATCACATCCATCCACCCTCTCACTCACTCACCCTCCCTCCCACTCAACTCCCCACCCACTCCCTCCCATACTCACCCTCCCACTCACTTACTCATTCACCCACTCCCTCACTCACCCACTCACTCACTCGCCCTTCCATTCACTCCCTCACCCACCCACTCACTCACTCACCCTCCCACTCACTTACTCACTCACCCACTCCCTCACCCACACACACATCCACTCACTCACTCACCCTCCCACTCACTCCCTCACCCACACACACATCCACTCACTCACTCACTCAGTGTTTAAGTCACATGTAGCCCTGAGCATGCGCACAACTCCCATGCACATGTACACGTGGTAAAACACTAAAACAAAATATTCGGACCAAACAAGCTGCTTCAGCCGTATCCTGATTTGACAGACAGACAGACGGACAGAGAGACAGGTTTATTTCAGTGACAGCTCTCCGGCCTAGGATATATACATGATCATTTGTTTCATTGGGCAAGATTATTTCCCAATCTGAATACTCTATGATCCGCTAACTTCGGTAGTAAATGCATTACACAAAGAGCATGTATTAGGAGGTACAACTCATTGCAAAATGAATATGTATTAGATATATCATTATCGCCCGGGAATATGTTCATCTATACTATTTAAAGTATGCTAAGCAATAAAAACATATATTTGAAATTTCATGTACAACGTACGTCAATACATTACGATATTTTTTATTCCTTCAATGGTCACGATATGGCTGAGATATTGCGGATGTGACGGTAAATAGTAACTCACTCATTATTCCTTCAATGTTTCTCACGTTGTTGTGACCAGATAACATTTCTGGATCAAACGCAACAAACTGAACTCAAAATCTTACAGTATTCCCATCCGTGTTTGGTCTTGACTCCTGAGAGTTTCAGGGGCTTCTGTCCTGCCTAACCACGAAGCACATGGTGGTCATTTGGTGGTCATTGGTTTCCTCGGTCATACTTATGGGGATAATTTCCATAGTATGCACTGCCATGACTTTAGGTAAAACTGATAGTCTACCTAACAATAGCGATAGGCTTGTGGGTTTGTTTAAAATTACCACTGTTCATCCAGCAGAAAATGGGTACCCGATGGGATAAGTCATATGACTTTTAACCTTCCAGCTTGGGTTGTTCGGGGTGATAATGTCCATTATGTTGCATGCACGTGTGGCGTGGAGTTCAGTAAAATATAAGTTGCCATATTATTATTATATATCAATAGATTAATATATTACATAATCCCATAATCAACATAAATACACAACCTTCTAGGATGCCCGCAATTTGCAGTATAGGACGACAAGACAGATGACAGTCATCGCCAAACTTAGATGCGATCTTGTCGCTCCAGAAGGTCCGTTACAGAAGTCCGACTTGCATAGAGTGACACAGGGACGGTAGCCTCGAGTATCAAACCCACACGTCGTGGTGTTTGAGGGTTTCAGACCTTTCAGATTGGCCAGGTTAAACGAGAAGGTCACGCCATCTGAACAGCCCCGGATGTAACTGAGGATCTTTCTGGTTTCTGCGGAGAGAATGAGAGTCGAAATACATATACGAAATATGTACTGTCAGGTAAAAGAGTGAGTAAGTGAGTTTAATTTTACGCCGCTTTTAGCTATAGTTCAGAAATACTGAATGACACCAGAAATGGGCTTCAGAATGGGGAAGGGGGAATCGAACCTGGGTCTTCAGCGTGACGAGCGAGCTCTTTAACCACAAGGCTACCCTCCCCCCATCCCCTCCACGAGCAACTCATCATCATCATCACTGCAGGGAGAATCAACCACGCGAGGCGCAGAGTTTAGTTATACGAGAGCTAGATATCGAGCAGTTTCAATTTCATATGAGGTATGGCCCCGTTTTTAGTTGTTTTTTGAAATTGTCTTTACGACAATACATGGAGGTAATGGCGATCTATCGTAACGAGACTCCTAACAAGGGCAGAGTGATTATGCAACCAGAAATCGCATGACAGTGAGGAGCAGTGAGGTAGCCTAGTGGTTTGCTCGTCACACCGAAGACCAGGGTTCGATTCCCCACATGGGTACAATGTGTGAAGCCCATTTCTGGTGTCACCTGCCGTGATATTGTTGGGATATTGCTAAAAGCGGCGTAAAACTAAACTCAATTACACACCTTAGTGGGTAAAGTTCCCTGTAAATGTATGTCTGTTTCAGTGCTTCGTTGATTTGGAAACAAGATTTTGAACCGGTGACCAAAGTTAAATTTTACTCTTTTTTTTTTTGAGGAAAAAAAGCATTTTCTATTCCAACTTACTACTCTCACGAACTTCTTCAATCATGCACACAGTTTGTTCTGGGAAGGTGTCGCAGTCCGCGTAACCAGGATAGCGGCTGCCGGCGTCGTTGACGTGCTTTGTGTTGTTGTTCATAACGTGTCTGTAGACATCTAGGAATAAACTGTACCCAGAAATACACTCCCCTTCTCCTCCAGCGGCGCCGCAGGTGTAACAGAGGATTCCGTCTGAACAGATAAAAAAAAAATATCAAGGACAGAGAATAACCATGCAGTCTCTATTATCCACTGAAACAGATGACCACGAGACAATGTACTGGTCGAAATTATATGAATGACACCATGTGTTCCAATCGTTAAAGGGGTGGTAGGGTAGCCTAGCGGTTAAAGAGTTCGCTCGTCACTCCACAGACCCAGCCTCGGTTCCCCATGCGTACAATGAATGAATGAGTTTAGGTTTACGCAGCTTTTTAGCAATATCACGGCGGGGGACACCAGAAATGGGCTTCACACATTGCCATGCGCACAATGTGTCAAGCCCATTTCTTAGGTCCTCTTAGGACACGACGTGGCATGGCCGTGACCGTGGCTCGAACCACTGACCAACCGGTCTCATGACAGACGCTCTGCGCTCAGCAACAGTGATCCGACTTTAACTATAGGCCAAGGCAGGGTATATGATCGTCACCGAAAATATTTGCTGGAAAATTCTATAATATGTTGTTGGTCAGAACATGTGTCACAGTCCCTGAACCTCATTATTGTCCCCACTGCCAAGCCCTCCCTGCAATGCTAAAGCCCTAAATGAAGCAAGTCTAGACTTCCTCAGATTCAGAATCTCTGGTCTCTCTGGGACTCCTTTTCAATTTATATGGGTTTGTTTGTTACTATCAAAATTATACATATTCAGAGACTAAGAGTTAGTCTAGCCAGAACACCGTGGAAGCCCGAGAACTCTGTCCAAATATAGCACAAGTCTACATATAGCGCGCCACTATTGCATTGTATAAAATGCACAGTGTATAAAATTTGAAACCCTGTTTCACAACGTTTTATACTGCGTCTTAACATCACTACACCATGGATTTCGTCAGTGTGATTAAAGAAACAATGACATAACTTACCTGAGCTGTAAAATAACCCGATATTCAGAGTGGGGTTGTCATTTAAATGTCCTAAATGTCCTATATGTAGTCAAAAGCGACGCGTCCAGACATCGCACCACTGACCAACCGGTCGTTAAACACTTGACCATTGACCATGGATTTCGTCATTGTGATTTCAGAATAATGGTAGAACTTACCCGAGCTTTGAAGCAACCCGATAATCAGATCACGACTGAGTGGATTGTCATTTAAATCTCCTAAATTTAGTCAAAAGCGACGCGTCCAGATATCGAACCACTGACCAACCGGTCTTTCCGGAGAAGCTCTGCCCACAACGCCATGGATTTCGTCAGTGTGATTTAAGAATAATGACAGAACTTACCCGAGCTTTGAAGCAACCCGATAATCAGATCACGACTGAGTGGATTGTCATTTAAATCTCCTAAATTTAGTCAAAAGCGACGCGTCCAGATATCGAACCACTGACCAACCGGTCTTTCCGGAGAAGCTCTGCCCACAAGACCATGGATTTCGTCAGTGTGATTTAAGAATAATGACAGAACTTACCCGAGCTTTGAAGCAACCCGATAATCAGATCACGACTGAGTGGATTGTCATTTAAATCTCCTAAATTTAGTCAAAAGCGACGCGTCCAGATATCGAACCACTGACCAACCGGTCTTCCCGTAGAAGCTCTACCCACAAGACCATGGATTTCCTCAGCGTGATTTAAGAACAATTTACCCGAGCTGTGAAGTAACCCGAGAAACAGATCACGACTGAGTGGGTTGTCATTTATATCTACTAAATGTAGTGAAAACAGACGCGTCCAGATATCGAACCACTGACCAACCGGTCGTTAAACACTTGACCATGGATTTCGTCAGTGTGATTAAAGAACAATGACATAACTTACCTGAACTGTAAAATAACCCGATATTCAGAGTGGGGTTGTCATTTAAATGTCCTAAATGTCCTATATTTAGTAAAAAGAGACGCGTCCAGATATCGAACCACTGATCAACCGGTCTTCCCGTAGAAGCTCTACCCACAAGACCATGGATTTCCTCAGCGTGATTTAAGAACAATTTACCCGAGCTGTGAAGTAACCCGAGAAACAGATCACGACTGAGTGGGGTTGTCATTTAAATCTACTAAATGTAGTGAAAACAGACGCGTCCAGATATCGAACCACTGACCAACCGGTCGTTAAACACTTGACCATGGATTTCGTCAGTGTGTTTAAAGAACAATGACATAACTTACCTGAACTGTAAAATAACCCGATAATCAGAGTAGGGTTGTCATTCAAATCTCCTAAATTTAGTCAAAAGAGACGCGGCCATGTATCGAACCACTGACCAACCGGTCGTTAAACACTTGACCATTGACCATGGATTTCGTCAGTGTGGTTTAAGAATAATGACAGAACTTACCCGAGCTTTGAAGCAACCCGATAATCAGATCACGACTGAGTGGATTGTCATTTTAATCTCCTAAATTTAGTCAAAAGCGACGCGTCTAGATATCGAACCACTGACCAACCGGTCTTTCCGGAGAAGCTCTACCCACAAGACCATGGATTTCGTCAGTGTGATTTAAGAACAACTTACCCGAGCTGTGAAATAATCCGAAAAACAGAACAAGGCTGAGTACAGTTGCCATAGTCCGTGTCCTAAGTTTAGTCAATGATGCAAGCAGCCTCTACGGGAGAGGAAACCTTTCTCCACCATATGCACAAGTATGTTCAGTCATCGGAGTTTCGTTTGTGCGTAAGCTTGTCAAGGAGATGAGTAGCACACCCTTCTTCTCTTAGATGCAGGGATCAGTACCAAGGGACTACTTCGGGAAAGCACCTAGTCGGGGACCGAGAGTCAGATTACAATGAAAGACAGCACGACACACGACACGCCAACGCTACTGAACAGGATGTGTTTTAATATGCAACTGCTTTTGTATGCAACACCAACTTTCTTGGGTCACGTGGGTCTCTTGGGCGTTCTAACCGAACCGTATCGAGTGGTGAGATTGGATGCTTGTGTCACCGTGACCCAGCGTCGAATGGTTTCAGTTACTGTTGTTTTTAGAATTTGCATTATTCCCTACCCTATACATGATGTCATTCAAGAAGTCATGTGATATGTTTTGGGTCAGAGCTGCATTGAAATCCCTATTGCTGTTAATAGTCGTTCGTAGGTTTAAGAATTTGAAATTCCACAGTCTCCTTCTGTGTAACTGTAGAACGAAATAGATATTCATTGCTAACTTTACAATGATTAATGGTGGTGGTTGCGTCGAATAATACAAAGCCTATGATTTCACGGATGATACGTATTTGTGTCAAGCTGCCAAGAAAACCTTTTACACATATAGAGCAACGAAGTATGTACAAAATGACTATCTACATAGCAGTAATGTGGTTGCCAAGTTTTAAGCGTTCGCTCGTCACGCCGAGTCCTGGGTTCGATTCCCCACATGGGTACAACGTGGGAAGCCCATTTCTAAAAATATCAATAATGGACTTTTATCACTTGTGCGTGTTCAAGTCGCTTCAATAGAACGAGAGGATATATACAAAATATATATGGTGGATTAAGAATAGACAATAATTAGTGCTGGTGAAAAGATTAGTTTGGAAGCGAGATTTAAAAGATGTTACAGAATCCGAAATCATTTTGCTGACATGACGAGAATCCTGAGATTTGGAGCTGTATAAAGAAATGATAAATGAAATAAAGCAAAGCGGATTTTTGGGACTGTAAACAAGAGCTGGTTCTGGGGATCTGTGACAAAAACAGGTGCAAGGTCGCATTGATACTTACAGACAAGGCCGAGAAGTCAAACGAGACAAAAAATGTAGGAATTTTGAGAATAGGTGTACAAAATTAACAAACAGACCCAATCCCCCGAAAACATCTACCATTTGAGTAGATTGGTGTGTTCAATCCCACAGAACATCAGAGGAAAGTAGATGTGATCAATCCTACAGAACATCAGAGGAAAGTAGATGTGTTCAGTCCACAGAACATCAGAGGAAAGTAGATGTGTTCAATCCCACAGAACATCAGAGGAAAGTAGATGTGTTCAATCCCACAAAACATCAGAGGAAAGTAGATGTGATCAGTCCCACAGAACATCAGAGGAAATTAGATGTGATCAATCTCACAGAACATCAGAGGAAAGTAGATGTGATCAATCCCACAGAACATCAGACGAAAGTAGATGTGTTCAATCCCACAGAACATCAGAGGAAAGTAGATGTGATTAATCCCACAGAACATCAGAGGAAAGTAGATGTGTTCAATCCTACAGAACATCAGAGGAAAGTAGATGTGATCAATCCCACAGAACATCAGAGGAAAGTAGATGTGATCAATCCACAGAACATCAGAGGAAAGTAGATGTGATCAATCCCACAAAACATCAGAGCAAAGTAGATGTGTTCAATCCCACAGAACATCAGAGGAAAGTAGATGTGATCAATCCCACAGAACATCAGAGGAAAGTAGATGTGTTCAATCCTACAGAACATCAGAGCAAAGTAGATGTGTTCAATCCTACAGAACATTAGAGAAAAGTAGATGTGATCAATCCCACAAAACATCAGAGGAAATTAGATGTGATCAATCTCACAGAACATCAGAGGAAAGTAGATGTGATCAATCCCACAGAACATCAGACGAAAGTAGATGTGTTCAATCCCACAGAACATCAGAGGAAAGTAGATGTGATCAATCCCACAGAACATCAGAGGAAAGTAGATGTGTTCAATCCTACAGAACATCAGAGGAAAGTAGATGTGATCAATCCCACAGAACATCAGAGGAAAGTAGATGTGATCAATCCACAGAACATCAGAGGAAAGTAGATGTGATTAATCCAACAAAACATCAGAGCAAAGTAGATGTGTTCAATCCTACAGAACATCAGAGGAAAGTAGATGTGATCAATCCTACAGAACATCAGAGCAAAGTAGATGTGTTCAATCCCACAGAACATCAGAGCAAAGTAGATGTGATCAATCCCACAGAACATCAGAGGAAAGTAGATGTGTTCAATCCTACAGAACATCAGAGCAAAGTAGATGTGTTCGATCCTACAGAACATTAGAGAAAAGTAGATGTGATCAATCCCACAAAACATCAGAGGAAAGTAGATGTGTTCAATCCCACATAACATCAGAGCACAGTAGATGTGTTCAATCCTTCGGAACATCAGAGCAAAGTAGATGTGATCAATCCCACAGAACATCAGAGGAAAGTAGATGTGATCAATCCCACAGAACATCAGAGCAAAGTAGATGTGTTCAATCCTACAGAATATCAGAGGAAAGTAGATGTGTTCAATCCACAGAACATCAGAGGAAAGTATATGTGTTCTATCCCACAAAAACATCAGAGCAAAGTAGATGTCAATCAATCCCAGAACATCAGAGGACAATCCCAGAACAGCAGAGGAAGTAGATGTGTTCAATCCCACAGAACAGCAGAGGAACGTAGATGTGTTCAATCCTACAGAACAGCAGAGGAAAGGAGATGTGTTCAATCTACAGAACATCAGAGAAAAGTAGATGTGTTCAATCCCACAAAACATCAGAGGAAAGTAGATGTGATCAATCCCACAGAACATCAGAGGAAAGTAGATGTGTTCAATCCCACAAAACATCAGAGCAAAAAAGATGTGTTCAGTCCTACAGAACAGCAGAGGAAAGTAGATGTGATCAATCCCACAGAACAGCAGAGGAAAGTAGATGTGATCAATCCCACAAAACATCAGAGCAAAGTAGATGTGTTCAATCCTACAGAACATCAGAGGAAAGTAGATGTGATCAATCCTACAGAACATCAGAGCAAAGTAGATGTGTTCAATCCCACAAAACATCAGAGGAAAGTAGATGTGATCAATCCCACAGAACATCAGAGGAAAGTAGATGTGTTCAATCCCACAGAACATCAGAGCAAAGTAGATGTGTTCAATCCCACAGAACATCAGAGGAAAGTAGATGTGATCAATCCCACAGAACATCAGAGGAAAGTAGATGTGTTCAATCCCATACAGAACATCAGAGCAAAGTAGATGTGTTCAATCCTACAGAACATTAGAGAAAAGTAGATGTGATCAATCCCACAAAACATCAGAGGAAAGTAGATGTGTTCAATCCCACATAACATCAGAGCAAAGTAGATGTGATCAATCCTTCGGAACATCAGAGCAAAGTAGATGTGATCAATCCCACAGAACATCAGAGGAAAGTAGATGTGATCAATCCCACAGAACATCAGAGCAAAGTAGATGTGTTCAATCCTACAGAATATCAGAGGAAAGTAGATGTGTTCAATCCACAGAACATCAGAGGAAAGTATATGTGTTCTATCCCACAAAACATCAGAGCAAAGTAGATGTGATCAATCCCACAGAACATCAGAGGAAAGTAGATGTGTTCAATCCCACAGAACATCAGAGGAAAGTAGATGTGTTCAATCCCACAGAACAGCAGAGGAAAGTAGATGTGATCAATCCCACAGAACATCAGAGGAAAGTAGATGTGTTCAATCCCACAGAACAGCAGAGGAAAGTAGATGTGTTCAATCCTACAGAACAGCAGAGGAAAGTAGATGTGTTCAATCCTACAGAACATCAGAGGAAAGTAGATGTGTTCAATCCCACAGAACATCAGAGAAAAGTAGATGTGTTCAATCCCACAAAACATCAGAGGAAAGTAGATGTGATCAATCCCACAGAACATCAGAGGAAAGTAGATGTGTTCAATCCCACAAAACATCAGAGCAAAAAAGATGTGTTCAGTCCTACAGAACAGCAGAGGAAAGTAGATGTGATCAATCCCACAGAACAGCAGAGGAAAGTAGATGTGTTCAATCCCACAAAACATCAGAGCAAAGTAGATGTGTTCAATCCACAGAACATCAGAGCAAAGTAGATGTGTTCAGTCCTACCGAACAGCAGAGGAACGTAGATGTGTTCAGTCCTACAGAACAGCAGAGGAACGTAGATGTGTTCAATCCCACAGAACAGCAGAGGAAAGCAGATGTGATCAATCCTACATAATATCAGAGGAAAGCAGATGTGATCAATCCCACAAAACATCAGAGCAAAGTAGATGTGTTCAATCCACAGAACATCAGAGCAAAGTAGATGTGTTCAATCCCACAAAAACATCAGAGCAAAGTAGATGTGTTCAATCCTACAGAACATCAGAGGAAAGTAGATGTGTTCAATCCCACACAGAACATCAGAGGAAAGTAGATGTGTTCAATCCCACAAAACATCAGAGCAAAGTAGATGTGTTCAATCCACAGAACATCAGAGGAACGTAGATGTGATCAGTCCCACAGAACATCAGAGCAAAGTAGATGTGTTCAATCCAACAAAACATCAGAGCAAAAAAGATGTGTTCAGCCCTACAGAACAGTAGAGGAAAGTAGATGTGATCAATCCCACAGAACATCAGAGGAAAGTAGATGTGTTCAATCCCACAAAACATCAGAGCAAAGTAGATGTGTTCAATCCACAGAACATCAGAGCAAAGTAGATGTGTTCAGTCCTACAGAACAGCAGAGGAACGTAGATGTGTTCAGTCCTACAGAACAGCAGAGGAACGTAGATGTGTTCAATCCCACAGAACAGCAGAGGAAAGTAGATGTGATCAATCCTACATAATATCAGAGGAAAGCAGATGTGATCAATCCCACAAAACATCAGAGGAAAGTAGATGTGATCAATCCCACAAAACATCAGAGCAAAGTAGATGTGTTCAATCCACAAAACATCAGAGCAAAGTAGATGTGATCAATCCCACAAAAACATCAGAGCAAAGTAGATGAGTTCAATCCTACAGAAAATCAGAGGAAAGTATATGTGTTCAATCCACAGAACATCAGAGGAAAGCAGATGTGTTCAATCCCAGAAAACATCAGAGCAAAGTAGGTGTGTTCAATCCACAGAACATCAGAGGAACGTAGATGTGATCAGTCCCACAGAACATCAGAGCAAAGTAGATGTGTTCAATCCAACAAAACATCAGAGCAAAAAAGATGTGTTCAGCCCTACAGAACAGCAGAGGAAAGTAGATGTGATCAATCCCACAGAACATCAGAGGAAAGTAGATGTGTTCAATCCCACAAAACATCAGAGCAAAGTAGATGTGATCAATCCACAGAACATCAGAGGAAAGTAGATGTGTTCAATCCCACAGAACAGCAGAGGAACGTAGATGTGTTCAATCCTACAGAACAGCAGAGGAACGTAGATGTGTTCAATCCTACAGAACAGCAGAGGAACGTAGATGTGTTCAATCCCACAGAACATCAGAGAAAAGTAGATGTGATCAATCCTACATAATATCAGAGGAAAGTAGATGTGATCAATCCCACAGAACATCAGAGCAAAGTAGATGTGTTCAATCCACAGAACATCAGAGCAAAGTGGATGTGTTCAATCCCACAGAACATCAGAGCAAAGTATATGTGATCAATCCCACAAAACATCAGAGCAAAGTAGATGTGTTCAATCCACAGAACATCAGAGGAAAGCAGATGTGTTCAATCCCTCAAAACATCAGAGCAAAGAAGACGTGTTCAATCCACAGAACATCAGAGGAACGTAGATGTGATCAGTCCCACAGAACATCAGAGCAAAGTAGATGTGTTCAATTCCACAGAACAGCAGAGGGAAGTAGATGTGTTCAATCCTACAGAACAGCAGAGGAAAGTAGATGTGTTCAATCTACAAAACATCATAACAAAGTGTATGTTTTCAATCCCACAAAACACCAGAGCACAGTAGATGTGTTCAATCCCACAAAACATCAGAGCAAAGTAGATGTGTTCAATCCTACAGAACAGCATATCACTAGGGCTGTAACGATGCATCGATCTATCGATGCATTGCAATTGTTGTGTCTCCGAAGTAGCAGATTCGTTCATTTTGAGTTAGACTTATCCGCCCCTGTTACCTCTTAAAACAAACTTGATCTGGTTTTCAAGTCTCATGTTGGTCGCAATAGAGTATCCCTATCGCAATAGTATGTTGCAATAGACTATCGCTTTTGCAATAGTTGATTCCGCCTCAATAGTCACCCCTCCATATCACCCCCTGGTTTGTCAGTCTGCATTTATATCCCGAAATAATATTGCTGGATGCGACGTTAAACAGCAAAGAAAGAAACTTTTTCAAACGGCACTTAGTTCAACCTACTTCCGACCCATGAAGATCCGGGTTAGAATTGATCTTCAGCAACGCGTAAGAGGCGACTAACCGGATCGGGTGGTCAGGCTCGCTGATTTGGTTGACATATGTCATCGTATCCCAGTTGCGTAGATCGATGCTCATGCTGTTGATCATTGGATTGTCTGATTCAGACTCGATTATTTACATACCGCCGCCATATAGCTGGAATATTGCTGAGTGCGGCGTAAAACTAAACTCACTCACTCACTCATATTTTTATGATGTATATACTTGAGGCTACAAACAAACAACAGATGCCTCATACTTTAATCTGATAGCGAACATCTCAGGTAGTCCATGGTGAAAAACAACAACAACGTTAACAGAACAGTGTCACATGCATGCATGGTTGAAAAGGTTGCATCCGGTATTAGTCTTGTAGGGATCTTCGACCGCAACAAATTGTATACGTTCCGGTAATAACATTCTCAAGTTCTACGATCTGATTCGAACCTCGGACCGAGATCGGACACCTTGCCCACATTACCAAAGAGGTCAATCCAACGTCAACGTAATGCAGTCATCTCTTGTATGATTTCAAGCCCTTCTGAACATACACTGTGCAGAGTGTATATTTAGGTTGCAAACAAGCCTGTTCCCAAAAAAGTGTTTCACCGTATATATACTGAACCACAAAAGAAATGTCGCACTGATAGGGGTTTCTTAAAGCACACACTTTAATTCACTCCAATTAGCAATAAAACCGGAGGGAAAACGGAGGACTGAGTTCAAACTTGACAAGTATGGTTAACACATTTTCGGGAATAACATTTAGAGTTAACACAAACAACATCACCAAAAGTGGTACCATTAAGATACCCCAAAGTCAGTATCGTGTGTGGCCTCTATGGACATCGATGAATGAGTGAGTCGTCTGAATATGGAACGAATTAGCTGGTTGATGAAGGCCATAGGCGCTTGAGTCCATACTCTGCGAAATGCCTGATTGAATCTTGTCGCAGTTGTCAGCCTTGGTTGGAGGACATTCAGTCTTCTTTGAATCTCGTCCCAAAGGTGTTCTTTTGGATTTAAATACGGAATGAGTGTAGGCTATTGTAGGGTTTGGATGCCATGTTGTCTTAGGAAGTCCAATGTTGCTCTTGCAGTGTGGGCACGACCGTTGTCTTGCTGGAAGATGTGATTTCTGTAACGTCCAAAATGTGGTACAACGTGGGTCTAGCGAGTAGCTGTCATGTCATTTCCTCATTCTGGACTAAAATTCTGGAACGCCATGGTGTCAGCTAATTGGTTCAGACCGATTGAACCCCACACTAGTGACACTATGATGCTTAGACCACTCCACGAGTCTCTTTCAACAATACACTCATTGCAAAACATTTCACCACGCCCTCGCCATAACTCTCACTCTGCAATCGACTGTCGAAACACAATATCGTCTTTCATGAGATAACAGCACAGTTCTCCATTGTCGATAATACCAATTTCGATGCTGAGTTGCCCGTTGCAGTTGGGTTTGGCGATGATGAGCAGTGAGGACAAGACTACGCGAGGGTCTGTGACAGCAGAGGTTTCTTCCGCACAAACGTCGACGCACTGTATCGGCACTAATGGGTCTGTTGTTAGTCCCAATAGTATGGCGTGCTGTTTCCGTCGGTCTGGGGAAGCGATCCTGCAGATGGTGGCGCACAATCTGTCAGTCTTGAAGTTGTGATGTAACTGAAGGTCGCCCACCGCGTGGACGGATTTGAATGCTCTTAGTGACCTGATACCACTCCTACTGTCCTAACATGAACATCCAAATGATTGGCAGTCTGGACAACTTGCAATCGTCTCATGACTTGGTTCCTCTGATCTCGACCCGTGAAGATCCGGGGTAGAATAGGTCTTCAGCAACCCATGTGCTTGCCATAAAAGGCGACTATGCTTGTCGTAAGAGGCCACTAACGTGATCGGGTGGTCAGGCTCGCTGACTTGGTTGACACATGTCATCGGTTCCAAATTGCGCAGATCGATGCTCATGCTGTTGATCACTGGATTGTCTGGTCCAGACTCGATTATTTACAGACCGCCGCCGTATAGCTGGGATATTGCTGAGTGCGGCGTAAAACTAAACTCACTCACTCACTCCTCTGATCTCTCATAAGAACTAGCATGGAGCCTGTGTCAAAACAAAAAATGATTTCAGGCGAGTTTGGGACTCGCTTTCATTGGTAGGGTTGTCACGACATGCTCGTGCATTTTCATTTTCACGAATGTCATGCGGACTCTTTTACCATGTCTGCCTTTTTCGGTGCGTTAGGTCGATATGCTTTTTCATCAGAAAACACACTGATTTTGGTAATAACTGTCAATTTGGATTGTAAAACATGTTAAGAAAACAGTACAATCACAATAAAAACATCACCTTGCAAGAACAAATTTTTGTGCACTTGGTTTTGAAAAGCGACGTTATATTTTGTGGTTCAGTATATTTCAACCTTTTACACTTTGACCTGGCTTCCTTTTTTTCACATGCCAGAAAAGTAATTCAAAATTTGCGTACAGTCGGTGTAGTCTAAAATAGGCCACTCTAGAAACTCTATAAAATCCTTTATACTGCACAACTAAATGTACTGAAAAACAAACAAAAGTAACAACAAAAACCGTATTTATTCTGGGATATTTAGAATTTGACGCAAGAATAGAATAAGCAAAGTAGGAAGGTTAACGCGACAACAGAGGGATTTTCTTGTTGTGCTCCTCTATTGGGCCCATTGCAGAAGTTTCCGGAATTGCACAGAGTGATGCAGATTTGGTAGCCATGGTTACCGTATGCGCAAGCAGTAAAGTTGGCAGGCGTGTCTGTGCTCAGGGAGGTAGAGTTGATGGAGAACGACACACCGTCTGAACAGTCCCGGTTGAAGCTTGAAACATCTCCCGTAACTATAGCAACAGACCAACAAAAAACCAATATAACATACCCATTAGTGGTGTAACGATTCATCGATAGTATTGACATCGTTAACTACGCGATACGAGTGTATCGATACAAAACACATTGAGGCAATATATCAGGATATGTATATCGCGAGGGTCTATGATACATCAATGTATCGCCACAAGAGACGATATATCCCGATACAACTTAAATACTACTTAAAGTTTTAAGGAATATTGCATTAGTAATATGATAGGAGTCTCTTTGAAATCCTTTGAAATTGAACCTAAAAGGACTTTAATGTGTCTGTTATCTTTGTTACAGGAACAAAGGAGTTGGTGTTTAAGTGAAAGAGTGTGAACATTTTGCAAACTCTGTGAACTGTAGAAAACTTGTCTTCAAGTAATTGAAATATGTTTTAGATGTTTGACAAATGACACTATTAACAACTATGAACGATGTCTTAGCTTTGTTAAGAAAGAGGACAAAGAGAAGATAAAATTTAGAAGGCAGACTAAAGATTGTTTTTCAGTGATTCGCTTTCAAATTTATGTGTATTAGATCAAGGTATACCAAATATGTTTGACTGTACTTTCATAAGCATTAAATGCTGAAACTTTATTAGATCAACAGCTGTTTAAGTGAATGTAACACAAGTTCTGCTGTATAACAAATAAAGTTTCAGTCATTTTATCTATCATATCTGTTCTGTTATTAGAAATTGTAAATGATGGGCATACGTATCATATTGCCACTATTGTATCGTGATGATAATCGTCTCGCAGGTTCCTTGCCAATACTTTCACGATATATACTGCGGACATTCGTGAAGGATGCCTCGAATCACTGCTGTGATTCAGTGATGGCATCAGGTATCAGTTTGAGTGAGTGAGTTTAATTTTACGCCGCTTTTAGCAATATTTCATCAATATTATTACATGGGCTTCACACATTGTACACTTGTGGGGAATCGGACATTGTCTGTTTCTAAAGCTGACCAATCAATAAAAGAATCTGATGTTTTTGGTACCGGGCGTTGGCACAGCTTATCGTGTAAGATGTAAGATGACAGGATATATGCCTGAACATGTTCAGAAGAGTTACAGTACGAAATAAATAAATAAATAAATAAATAAATAAATAAATAAATAAATAAATAAATAAATAAATAAATAAATAAATAAATAAATAAATAAATAAATAAATAAATAAATAAATAAATAAATAAATAAATAAATAAATAAATAAATAACCCAACTCTTTCCAAACAAACAACATAAACAAACAAGCTCCCAATTTCAGCTTGTCTGCTTTCAAATTACAATGTTCATGTTCATATAACCACTTACACACATTTCGAACTTCTTCGATGATACACATGCTTCTGTTACCGAAGGTGTTGCAGTTCTTGTAGTGAGGAACTTCACTGGCTGTGGGGCCGCCCCCACGAACAAAGGTGCTGTTGGGTGAGGACAGTGCGTTGGACACCCTTATGAACGTACCGTACCCTGTCATACATTCGCCTTTACTTCCGCTGCTGGAACACTGATAGCACAGAAGGCCATCTGTAGCAGAAACAATGCAACATAGTGAGTGAGTGAAATTTAAGCAGCAATATCACATCGGTGGACACCAGAAGTGGGCTTCATACATTGTACCCATGTATGGAATCGAACCCGGGTCTTAAGCGTGAAGAGCGAACGCTCTAACCATTAGGATTCCCCATATGGGTACAATGTGAGGCCCATTTCTGGTGTCCCCCACCGTGATATTGCTGGAATATTCCTAAAAACTATACTCTGTACTGGGATATCGAACCTGGATCTTCGGCGTAACGAGCAAACGCATTAACCAGTAGGCTACTCGACCGCCATCGTAGACATATATGTGTGTGATACCGCGATTGGGGAGGAATTCCGCCACCTCAGATTTCATTCGCATCTGACTCCAACAAAACTCCATAATGCTACATAAATGAAACACTCACCCGACATGTGTAGAAAGCCTAGCATCAGATAAACAACCCATATTTCCATGTCTGGTGATGTCACTCCTCACTGACGGTGAGACATTTTACAATAAGTATTAAATCCACCGGCCTACACTGGGGTCTATCGTGGTGCGTTCCGCCCCAGTGGATCTTCAGCGTCTACACGATTCCCTCGAGTTTACGAGTTAGTATTCCCAAGAAAACGATTCATCCTACACGGGTCGATTACTACAACTTCCTTGTTCGTTGTAGATGCTGTGGTTACAGTAACACGTGACGTTATGCACTTTTATGCACCGATAGTCGCGATGTTTTCAAGTAAAGCGGCTGTCTTGTATGAACACATTTGTTATATCTGTGTTTCTCATCGCCCGGCCAACTGTTTGTGTGTTTGTTGTTTAACACCGCACTCAGCAATATTCCAGCTATATGGCAGCTGTTAATAATCGAGTTTGGACCAGACAATCCAGTGATCAACATCATGAGCATCGATCTACGTAATTGGGATACGATGAGATGTGTCAACTAAGTCAGCGAACCTGACCAACCGATCGCCTCTTACGACAAACATGGGTTGCTGAAGACCAATTCCAACCCTGATCTTCCAGCTATCACGTGCTTGGTTTCATTCAAGAGAGACACCTCTGTTAATCCTTTTTCATTAGTTTGTGAAGAGTTATCCCCCTTTATTTACTTGCTAGCAGATGGCATTTTCAGTGATCCTCAGTATGGATGATTTAGAGAAGAGGAAGTTGATTTTAGAGTATTATAACAAGGACATCAGATCAGCTAAAGTGATTCAAGTAGAACAGGCATCCCTTTGTCCACTGTTTATCGTGTTTTGAAACATATTGCAAATGAATATGGCATTGAGCACCAGGGAGGCGCAGGTTGGCCCAGAAAATTGACTGTCGTTGACAGAAGGCGGTTTGGTATTCTTGTTTCTAAAAAACAAACGAAGGAGTTTAGAAAACGTAAGGCTGGATATGATTGATAGAGGAACTGTGGCTGTCTGTAAGGAGACAATTAGAACTGAGCTGCATGCATTTGGTTGGCAGAAAAGTCGAGGAATTCCATCACCGATCATGAATCCTGAACAAAAGGAGCGAAGGTTGAACTGATGCTTACAGCATAGAAATTTTAACTGGGACAATGTGTGGCTGTTTCCTAATACACTGAAATTCTGGACCAAACAAACTGAAAACCTTTGTATCAGCGCCCAAAGTACAGTCCGAAATTTAACGTGTGGGGTGGCATATCTGTGTTAGGGGCAACGCCCCTCTGTGTATTTGAAGGGAATATGAACAGTGAGCGGTACACAGATATTCTCGAGGGACATTTACTTCCATCTGCTCACGTGCTCTATGGAAATGTTTGGATTTTCAAGCATGACAACGACCCAAAACATCGTTCAAAGCATTCACAGGCCTGGTTTCGGACCCAAAATATGACATTATTAGATTGGCCAAGCTATAGCCCTGACCTAAATCCAATAGAAAATGTTTGGGGACTTATGAAGGAAAGTGTCAATAAGAAAAATCTGACAAATATTGCTGAAATGAAAGAAGAGGTGGTCCGATATTGGGACAGCATGGACCACAACTTTCTAACTCCTTTGATCAGCAGTATGCCCCGTCGCATTGAAGACTGCATTGCTGCCCATGGTGACTTGACAAAATACTAACTGTTCACCTGTCTTTGAATCTGGAGTTATGTTCTGCTAATATTCACATTTAATACGTGAGTAATGAGTGAAAAAATTTAAAAAATTACAATCTTAAATTCTCAATAATTTCTGGTTGTACTACCTGTATTTCTCATCGCCCGACCGACTGTTATTTGCCCGGATAATAAAAGGTTTCACCTCCGATCTACTTCTTTCCTGTGTCAACTGGGCTGAAGGCTGAACGCCAGTGAACGAATTTCCCTGTCCTAAGTATGACACCTCCGACCTAAAGAATTTCCTGTCCTCGGTGAACTAGCCACAGAACGTACCAGGTAACAACAAACAGTCAAGGTTTATCTAATTGCCTGACCTACACAGCCCACTAGGCTCAGTTGAGTTACATACAGTTTCATACATGGACATTTTATATACAAAGTCCAAAAGAGTTTTAGTTTATAATCATATATATTTATTACATTATTATTTGCCAACAGAAAATATCATAACACCAAATTCAAACATAAGCAATTCGTCATTCACATTACATACCACAAGGTTCAGACACAGCATTACTTGCAGACAATGAGGATGTATGTTAAAGGTGAGGTGAGGTGATATGGGGTTTAACGTCGTACTTGAGAATATTTCGCTAATATGACGACGTGCATGCGCGTGTGTGTGTATGTGCGGCTGCTTGTACTAGCCCAGACTTAAGCTGGTTTTATAGTGCTAGCTCACTGTGATACCATGCCGCAGTGAACCATGAATACCCCACTCAGACACATTATACTGACTCCGAGACGACCAGTCCTTGTTGTACCCATTAATGCCGAGCGCCAGACAGGGACCAAGAGTACCACATTTTAACGTATTTTGGTATGACGCGGTTGGGGATCGAACCGCGACCTTCCGCTCTCCGGGCGGACGCTCTAACCACTACACCACGGAGGCGGACTTCATATTGTGATTTATAGTATTATTTGCATGAACATGGTGAAAATTGTTAATTCCATTAGTTTACTCTGATATGTTTCATAGACAAGTGGAGAAATATTACTGTACACCAAAAGGAAAATTACATATTACAAAGCATGGGTACAAACAGTTACATTGACACACTATAAAAATGGATAATGTAACTGAATTGCGGAATTAAAACAATTAATGCAGATGTATTTTCCTTTACCTGAAATGTGTAGCTGATATAACAATAAATGTAATTCAGCCTTCAGAGGAATCAGCAAAGATCGACAAAGGAGAGTGACTTCATGTAACTATAACTACCAGTCTTTTTCAACTTTGAATAGTCTGTCTCACAGTCCCCCCGCAATGCTTTTAAAATTTAAAAGCCCTAAATGAAGCAAGTCTAAATTTCCCCAGGTCAGCCCGAATCTTCCAACTCACTGGAGCTCGTCTTTAATTTAAATGGTTTTATTACTTGCAATCAAAATTACATATAGTCAGGGACTAAGCCTAAGTATGATACCCATAGAAAAGCCATCGAAGTTCGACAGGACTGGATATTATTTATAAATTGCAATGACATGCCGTTTAATTCCCAAGTTTAATTCCCCTAAAGGATCATCTTATCTTAGTTGATATCTATATCCCCCAGCCCGACCTCAACCACTGTCTGCGACACCCGTCCTGGGTTTGCTTTTGAGACGACCCTCCTACCTTACCTATTTCTTTTTATAGTGATAGTGAGACTCCATTGTAGCTACATCCTCAAGACTTTCAGTATTAAAGTTACTATTTTTATACGTCAGCTATCGTTTATAATGAAGCTAAGTTTAATTTCAAAATGGGCATTTAAAAAGTGTCCTTTGTAATACAATATCACCGCACACTAATTTGCATAAAGCCATGGTCTGTTCCAAATAAGTCGCTTTGGACCCGCATTGCTCATTTCTGCACTGTTCTCTCCTTAGTAAAGTCCTCTTTTTACGTTTCCTATTTCCCTACCACTGCGACTGTAGTTAGGCCGAAATTAACAGATATTTCACACTTTCACATATTAATTACATAAAATGTAGATATGAATGCGAAAAAACATTTTTGTTCTATTTCCGACAGTACTTGTTGTTGTTGTTGTTTAGTCTAACCAACTGTAAGAGTATAAACCACATGGTCTAATGGACGGTGACAAGCACTGGTGTTCTATCTGGTCAAGATGTGCAGAGTGGGTGATAAGGCAGGGTGTGTCATATCACCTGATTTCCACACTATCTCTACACTTGACCTAAGAGTAATATTGCATGCAATAAATGCAACGGTGAAACACAATTATCATCCTCTTATCAAGCCTGTACTACGCAGCCTGTCTATGTAGCTCCTGTTCGATTGACATTGAAGCTGACACAAGTATGTACTTTAATTTTGGTGGCCCAAACCCTCGGGGAAGGCGTGTTCAAGTTGAACGAGGTAGGGGTATTAATGTTTTAATGTTTCTATCGATTGTTTCCCAAGTGTAATCAAACTGAATGTAATGCAACAGAAAGCATAGCCGGCTTTATTGTATTGTTGGATTGTCCGTAGACTGACATGTGACATGTTCTAGGGTAGATTTGGGTTATGAGAGTTTATTTAGCAATACATTTCATGCAGTAAGTTCAATTTTAGCACAAGATCAGTCATGTTGAGTTGCCCAATTTCCAAGGGAGGTCACTCTATGACAGCCATGTTGATAATTGGAGTGGGTGACCTTGTGAAATAAATCGACGCTCCTCACGGGTATCCTCCCAAAACCTTTACAGCTTATAACAACATTTTTGGTTGACTGCGAACATACTGAATACCTCAGTCTGTAATGGTTTAACCCATTAATCAGTAGTGAATAGAAACAATCACTTAGTAATAAATTATATGTTTTATTAAGGCAGGGATATTTACAAAAAGTACATATCTTTTGTAGTTGCATATCATAGTCTATGTGGAACATTTATATAGAAATCATGTCCTATAGTGTCCAAGATTTCACCGGCACATTTGGCAGCCATGTTATATTGTAAAACAACATATTTTAATATACATGTACATTAAATGTACGTTATGCTGCATAATGTATGTTTTAAATAGTCAGAATACAACAACATTTCAAAGTAAAACAAGAAAACAAAATTTACCATGTTTTCCTACATGAAATATGCACGAATTTATATTATATTAGATTTCAGATTTATTATCTAACTGCTCTCTTCTCTACTAAAACCTCTACTCAGCTAAGTCAGGTGATATATCATTATCTGTTGTTTCAGTTAAGTGCACTTCCCGGGCTATCCTATTACCTAAAAAGGGGTGATGAGGGGTTGTTGTTTTAACAGTTTGTGGAAGTATTGGGATGTGGAAGTTTTGGGATATAAGCTCATCAAGCCGATGAGAGGGTTTGATTGGTCACGTGGGTAAACATTATGCAGTGACTATGACCAGAGTGAGTGAGTGGGTTTAGTTTTACGCCGCACTCAGGACTATTCCAGCTATATGGCGGCAGTCTGTAAATAATCGAGTCTAGACCAGACAATCCAGTGATCAACAGCATGAGGATCGACGCAATTGTGATACGATGACATGTGTCAACCAAGTCAGAGAGCCTGACCACCCGATCCATCTTACGACAAACGTGGGTTACCGAAGATCAATTCTAACCCGGATCTTCACGAGGTGACTATTGAATTTTATTAAATGGTCTCTGCTATGGCTCAAGGGGTCGGCACAGGTTCAACAAATATCTACCCCAGGTACGTTTCAGTATTCAGAAATGTGCCCTTACCACAGTCAAAATACATAAATGTACCCGGTACCCTAAACGACGGACAAATCCATATTCCGCAACCCCAAACCCATACCGAATGTAGTTATTATTGCAAGTAGTATAGTGCATCGCGAAATATTCGTCACTGCGTATGCTTGTTTTTTTATATAACCCAATCAAATGCATCTAATACAACAGTATGACAGTTCCAAGCAAGAAAACGGCCCAATGCGGAATGAATTCGCCCTTGGGGTACGTTTCTGTATTCAGATTTTGACTGGGGGTACGTTTCTGTACTGTGTTCTGAACTCGTGCTGACAACGACCCTTTCAGCGTGGCGATGAAGTGGGGCAGAAAATTCAAAACGAAGGGAGCAACAATTCTGATAATTTTCCATCGTATTTGCTGCAGAATGTACTTGCCTTTAAACATTTTGCTACTGAAGTAATTCTGTCAGAAGAAGAATTATATAAATATGGTCGTGGGACAAAGGTTAAATAAATTCGGATCATTTATTGATATTGATCAGGGCCTCCTTTCACAAAGCACTAAGGTGATCGTAAGTCACAAAGGTAACCTTAGTGCAATGTTAAAGAATGATCGTTATACATAGTGTCTTGCCTCCAGTCGAATCTTCCTCGATACACCATCTTTATGGCCATTTTTTGCCATTTTGCTTGCCATTTTTTTACATAAAAACATCAGAATCTCTTATTTTCCCAACATTATATAAAAATAGGCACAAATTATTTATAACATTTATGTTTTTTGAAGTCATTATGTTTATAAAACTGTGTTGTGAAATAGAATGTTTCAAATATTTACCAAGAAACTTATTCCTTATATCTAAGTAGGCTTTACAATAAAGTAAAACATGTATTTCATCTTCAATTAAATTCAGATTATTTTTGTAGCAAAAATGACAGAATCTTGAATAATAAGGGACATTGTTATATCTACCGGTCTCAGAACTAAGTTTAAATTTACCGCATCTAAATTTTGTTAAACAATTTCTTAAATATGGGGCAATACCTAAACTGAGATAAGTTTCAACATTCAGGAGGGACTTGAAAAGAATATAATTAGAACACTTGGTTGTACTATGTAGGGATGAGTACCACTCTTGTGAAAGATTATCAGACAATCTTTGCTTAAAAACAGAAATGAAACCATCAATATCTCCAATATCCTGTGAATCCAAGCAAAGCCAAAGCCAAATCTAAATAAAATATTCTTGATATGAGATGCCCATGTCGTCCGTCCAGATTCATCCAAAGACTTAAGCATTAAATAAAACTGATGAGGTAATCTACAACTTGGAAGAGTTAAAAGTCTACACCAATATTTAACTGCCCTTGACATATAAGTAAGTTGAAGAGGGAATCTGCCACATTCACCAAGAACCATATTGTTGCATGTATTTTTACCAACTTTTAAGAAATATTTACATGTCTTTATCTGGATTTGTTCAATGATTTTACAATGGGTAACACCCCAAATTTCTGAACCGTAACAAAGAATAGGTTTAACCATAGCATCAAATACTTTAAAAAGATCCGCACATGACAGATAACCTACTCTTTTGATATCTATAGATAGCCATAAGGGCTTTATTGGCTTGAGAAGCAAGAGTAGTGTGAGCTTTAGTCCAAACTAGCCTAGGAGTGAACACAATACCCAAGTACCTGTAGTATGAGACAACTTCCAGCCTTTGCCCATTAAGAAACCACTTTTCATACTGTCTAAGGGGCCCGCTATTCCTGAAAACAATAACTTTAGTCTTATTAATATTGACCTTCATACCGGTGAGTTGACAAAAATTTTCAAGCCCATGAATCTTCTTCTGAAGCTGGAGAGCAGTATCCGAGACTGAGGAAACATCATCCGCAAACATTAGAGCATATAGATTATTAACATCAGGTGTAATAAATATACCACGGCCACCAAATTGCTCCATATTTTCCATAAGCTGATTAATAAAGATAATAAACAATTGGGGACTGAGGATGCAACCCTGCCTAGTACCTATACTACAATCAAAATAGCTTGAAAGGCCTTGAGATGTTCTGACACAAGCTGACAACCTACCATACATTGATTCAAGGATGTTATAGAATTTACCACCAACACCAACTTTTTCTAGACTTGACAGAAGAATTTTATGATTAACTGTATCAAAGGCCTTTGAGAAATCTATAAACAGACAATAGAACCTTCCTTTCTTCTTACATGAATATTTCTGTACCATAGCTTGAAGTGAGAAAATGTGGTCAGTAGTAGAATAATTACTCCTGAATCCTGCCTGAGCTTCATGAATAATATTCTTCTCCTCACACCAAACCTGTAATCTACTGTTAAGAATGGAAGTGAATATTTTACACACAGAATCAATAAGAGAGATACCTCTATAATTATTGGGGTTACTTTTTACACCAGATTTGTAAAAAGGACAGATAATGCTTTTACCCCAAAGCTCCGGAAAAATACTGTCTTGGAAAATCTTGTTAAACAACACTGTAAAATAATTGCTGATAAAAGTCTTAGAAGCTTTAATAAAGTCAATTGCAATACCATCTGGTCCAGGAGACTTTTTTTTGCCAGTTTATCAATGTGAAGTAAGACTTTGTTTTCAGTAATGTCACAATTTAATGTTTTTAGCTCTTCATCCTTGATGGACTCTGAATTGATATCACTGTCATACTCATTACCAGAATTCTCAGTTAGAAGCCCTGAGAAGTAACTGAACCAGTCTTCACAGCTTATATTGTACGTAGTGTCACATGTTGAGGTTAAACCTGATTGCTTTAATGTTTTCCAGAATTCCTTTGGGTTGTCTCTTGCTGCAATAAGTTTCTCTTTTTGTACATCGAAGTATGCTCTTCGTTTGCTGTTAAAAGTCTTCTTGAAAGATTTACGTAGAGTTTTATAAATCACAATATCCAAGTTAGTGTCTCTATGATCTCTTAATGCTTTATATTTCATATGTTTTAATTGTTCGAGTTCTTGGTCCCACCATGGGGGTTGAGGTTTAGAGTTAATATCATGGTAACCTGAAAATATCTTCTTATTGTGGTCTGCAGCTCGCTGATACAGTTCAGTGAAAACATTTAATGAATCTTCAATATTGGTGTCTATACAGTGATATAATTTACTACGTAGATTTTCAAACAATTCTTGCAACTTAGAGATAAATAGATCACAGAGCTCTCCATTCCACACATATTTAGTCCATATTGTTGTTGAATTGCTCTCTGCAGAATTACTAGTTGGAGAATTTGATAGTACAGTTGGCTGTAGTGCACCAACCATGTTGGGTAGCTGGATGTTCAGAGAGCAGTAAATAGGGAAATGATCAGACACATCACAAGTACCAACACCAAAATCAGGAACTCTAGGAAACACAGATGTCGATGCAATCATGTAGTCTACTAGACTAGAACCGTTATGTGTAACACAAGTAAACTGCCCTTGTTTATCCTCAAATAGTCTACCATTCATGATATGGATTCCAAATGTACAGCACAATTCCATCAGTTTTTTGCCAAAGTTATTATGATATAAGTTATCTTTACTTGATCTTGGCATTTCAAAATCATCTGAAGGATAATCATCAACATCTCTCACAATAAAATCAATATTATCATTAGGAATGAAATCCAAAAAGTCTTTAGTCCTAGCATTTAGGTCACCAGCTAGAAATAATTGTTTGTCCGGGTGATCAGCAGCTATAATGTTTATATAATGTTCAAGGGTGTCAATTCCATCATTGTCACTATTGTCATACACTGGAGAGCCCTCTGGTGAGATATAAGTAAACATCAACAGAGTGTCTTTTTCCCAATGCAAACATTTGGTTGAAAAAAGTGGAACAACAGTATTCTGGAAGTGGTCATAAAGCCTTGTAATTAGATTATCATGTAGCCATTTCTCCTTTATCAAGACGGTGACACCGCCACTGTGACGGCCTAGTTGTTTCATTTTATCTCTCACAGCGTTGACTGCTCGAAAACCGGACAAGAATGCCGAAAATTCGTTTTGAGCTTTCACAAATGATTCGCAGAAACATACAACATCGAAATTATGACACAAAGGTTTCACCTGAGAAAATTCATTATCATGTTTATTTAGACCACCGATATTCCACGTCAAAATGTTGAAAGTAGGGCCATGACCATCGTATCATTCGTCGGTTTGTTTACTTCCCAACTGGCTCCGTCCTTCACCTTGCTTGTCAGTTTCATTTCCGGGTCCAAACAAACCTGCCCACGTGGTTGTGTTATTGTTTGTGTGGGGTAGTTCTTTGCGCGATCCTTTCTCTTTTACAATGTTCTGAGAGTCCCTATCGTACACAAACACTTGACCATTTACAATCAGCTTATTTTGTCTCATTTTCGGGTTGTTTCCTGCATTCCTTGCCTTCACAAACCAAGGTGAGAGTGCTCGCCTGTCCTCTCGTATTTTCTGGGGGGAAATCCTCTGTCACACGCTTATGTTGTGATCCCTCCGTCCTGTCGGTTCGTGCTGCCTTGAAGATGTCGCTCTTATCTTTAGACGTCAAGAATTTAGCGATGATTGGAGAACCTGGCTTCCGTGGATTTAACCGATGTGCTCGTATTATCACTATCCCATTGGCGTTGTCCATATGCGCACCTTACTCTCCGATTGCTCCCACGTCTCACCTTTATCACCGGGGATCCCATGGACAATTAGATTTTCTCTTCGGTTCCTAGATTCGAAGTCGGTAATCTTATCTTCCATGGCTGATAGTTTTGACTTTAGCTCTTTATTTTCTTGTTGTAGTTGATGAAATTGGCTGCTAAAATCTGACGCCATCTTGTCAACCTTGTCGCCGAGATTTACAAAGTTTTTGTTCATAGATTTGATATCAACTTTCATTTCAAGGAGTATTGTCAATATATCAGTGTTGTCCTTTTCACTCACGTTTATGCCCAGTGCACCCGATTCGTCCACAGCCAGTGTTTGTTGTCGTGTAGTGGGTCCCGGGTTCGACTCGACATCGCCACATGTGATAAGTAGGACACTCATCAGACACATCCAACGCACTCCTAGCGAAAGATAATGCCTCTCAAGTTTTAGTCCATGTAAACACTGACATTTTGTTTTGCTTGGTTGACAAAAGGTGCCTATTTTGACTCTGTATTGGGCTAAAGAAATGCCCATTTTTTAGAGCTCGTGATTGACACGTCAACACACAAGCTCACGCATGCGCAATTCCACAGACTTGGAAGCACAATAAAGATGCTAACAATGGCTGATATGGGTTGCGAAATTGAAGTTTATCATACCTGCAAGTATAAGTCCCAGTCCGTTGACTTTTAGTTCATGAGTTCCTAACTGGCAAAGGCATGTATATTAATACCTTTAATATAATACGAACAGCTCAACATTTTCGACAAGATACCGTGGTCAACTCTGAAGACACAGTCATTGGATGTAACCGACGGATGCTTGACCAACAGCTTGCATGTGACGTCAAGTTCAAGGTCGGGCAGTCGAAGTCGCCGGTAGGTGCCCACAAGTATGTGCTGGGTGCCAGGAGTGACGTCTTCTTTACCATGTTCAACGGATCGATTCCACAAAGTGATGACGTCGATGTTCCTGATATCGAGCTGGAACCCTTCAAGATATTCTTACGGTATGGTCGGTCTAATTTCTTTGGAACACTGTGATTAATTACTGGGTAATATGAGTATGTTTACTGACTCCAGCCTTACCACCCTGACCCTGAGGATCACCCAATCCCTCTCTGCTGCATACTATTTTCAATCTGTACAATATAATGATAAGATAGTAATGTTTTATGTTTTAGCTACCTGTACTGTGATGAAATACTCGTTGCCATGGACAACGTGCTGTCCGTCCTTTACTGCGGCAAGAAGTACAACGTTCAGTCTCTGTTGACCAAGTGCGTGGACTTCATCAAGAACATGATGTCTGTCGACAACGTGTGTTCCTTGTTCGAACAAGCTCACTTCTTTGACGAGGAACAGTTGTACCAGAGTTGTCTCTCCTTCATTCACCAACAGGGGACGGAAGTGTTGCAAACAACCGGATTCCTTTTGCTCTCGCGCGCATGCGTTTCTGATGTAATTTCCTCAAATTCTTTGGCTTGTGAGGAAAGCGTCGTCTTCGAGGCAATGCTTCGCTGGGCAGAGGCGGAATGTAAACGTCAACACAAACCTGTACACGATTCGAATTTGAGGGAAATTCTTGGTGAATTGCTGTTCAAAATTCGGTTTAGTCTGCTCGATATTTCATATTATTCTTCTTATGTTTCTACTCGCAAGATACTGACAGATGCTGAAAAGGTGTTCCTGTTTCAGTCAATATCAGGCACAGCAGTAGGCACAATGAAGTTTAATGGTAAAAAGCGAACACAATATTGGGATTTATTGCAATGAAATGCAAATGTACAGATAAAAAAGTTCATATTATTCCTGAAAGTTTGTGAAACTGCATCCAGTAATATTGAACTTAGTGAATGGAATGTGGACATTTTATACTTTCGACCGAGACAAGAGGAGACACTGATGCATGTCTTCACTGTTGGCTTAATATGAAAAGAAGATGAAATGTATGTTTTAAATGTATGTGCGGCGTATACCTCTGGTGGAGACAGTATACATATATTTAAGAAATAACAGTGCTATAAAGACATTCGTAACTATTATATCACTGAAGATACATAAAACATATCTCTGTTTGTACCTTAATAACATGTAAAACTAAGAGTGGAACCATTTACTATGCTTAATTTACAAGAATACTACCAATGAAATGTGTACTATATGTATGTTAATGTCTGTGTCAGTAATTGTTTACCAATACAAAACATTTACTATTTACACGTTAATTGTCTTCTTTTATCCACAATCTGTGCTGCTCAGAGATGTAAATTGCAAATGTCTGTATCTTGGGTTTGTTGCACATCTTTATAGAATAAGCCTGTGCAGATTTAGGGTGCCATAACTTGTAAAACAGGGCACATTCAGAGTTCTAGCAATGTAGTTCTGTTCGTGGATCCCGTGGCATGTTGTTTTGGTCTTGTGTTTTCTGAAGCTATAGCTAAATAGTGAAGCTAGAATCTCAAAGTGAAAAGTTTTACAGAAAACTCGTGACAAGTTATAAGAAACGTTGTTATGATGTTGTGAAGAGCCCAAAGCATAACGTTTCCTCAACGTAAATTTGCAACGTTGTTATTACGTTGTCACATAACGTTATAAAATGACGTAATACTAACGTTGTGACGTTGTGTCAAAAAGTTACCAATCTACAACCTTCCCACAACGTTGCGAAAACGTTGTGTCACTTGTGGTTATCTCATCATCATGGTGTGGGAGTGGTCAGCCGTGGTCACTAGCAACGTGTCCCTCTAATTGTTCAGATTGTCAGCACGTGACACAGCTTAAAAAAATGCTACAGTGTCAGACGATGCAATTAGCTTCTGTGTTTTCGTGATGCTTATGGTTAAAACAACTTTATTTCTGTTCTGTTTTAACTGTTCATTTAAGGCAACGTTTCTGAGCTGAAGATTGTTCTTTGAAAAACATTGCCCCGAAAAGATGTCACGCCATTCGTCATAATAGTCGTAGTCGGGCTTCCAAGGCTTTGTTGAGTGAGTTAGTGAGTGAGTTTAGTATTACGTCGCGTTAAGCAATTTTCCTACAAAATCACACGGTTGACTGATCCGATATTTTGTATGATGGTTATAGTCTTCGGTTGGCCACACCTCCCTCCCCCCCCCCTTTGCTGTGAGGTTATATGTGAAAATATTTGCAATTTTGTAGTTTTAATATAAAATAGAGACTCTAAAATAGAGAGCTAATGGTGCGTCGACTAACGATCTCTCGGCTAATGTGGTTTGTTAACCTATCACTGTCATGTTACCTAACACAACCCTGTTTCCTCTGCTTTCGTCAGGTCCTGGTTGGAGCGTTTTTGGAGGAGAACAGACTTCTTGTATAGTGTCACCATTTACTGTTTAACACTACCCAGTTTGAAGTCCTGGTTTGAGTGAGTGAGTGAGTGAGTGAGTTTAGGTTTACTCCGTGTTTGGCAATATTCCAGCAATATCACGGAGGGGACACCAGAAATGAATTTCACACATCGTACCCATGTGGGGGATCGAACCCGAACCACTACGCTACCCCACCACCCTTCTGGGTTTGAAGCTTGACAGGCTTTCTGTGCTGGGTTGGAAGTACAACTTGCTCATCAGTGAAAATGAATTCTGTGCACTTTTCGTTGTGATGTTTGGCCCACCCGGCAAAGGGTTGAACTTGACACTTTGGGGAATGTTTAAGCACTGGCTTGATAACGGTGTTAGAATCTACACCTAAACGTGCAATAAACAAGTAGTTGTATTCCATAAAGTCGTATTCTTCGTTATTCACATTTATCCACTTGGGGAAGCGATTCTAGGCCTTCAGGCGAGACGACCGACCCCTGGTGAAAAATCTATCAGGGCACTTCTCAGTCAAGTGGTTGTCAACTTCAAGGCAAAACAGGACACGTGCTCTCATCTCTCGTGTATTACCAATAATGTACAGTACCAAAAGAAAAAATCCGGAAAAACAACACAGTCCTCAGTTAACCGGACGAGTCGCAGATAAATTGAAATCCGGGCATAGGGATGCTTCTCGACAGCCGCCACCAAATTTGACACAAATTTGAAAATAAACGATTACCTAATAATGTCTCTATTATCAGCACAGGACATGTCCATGATCTGTTATTCGTCAGGGCACACAGGTAGTAGGATAAGTCGACAGACAGGTCTCAGGATCCGCTGACCATCAACCTGAACAGCAGCTGATCGAATCCTACCGTCAACCCCTGGGAAAGTCTCATTTACTCTACCGACTTGCCATGCAGCTCTAACACTCTGCGGGTCTAAGACCATCACAACATCTCCACACTCAATGTCCTTATGATCCTTGCGATCGTTCTGCCATTTCTGCCTCAACTGTAGCTTGGGTAAGTAGTCACGAATAAAATGTTTCCAAAAATGATCAGCAAGAACTTGACTGTGCCGCCATCTGCGGCGACCAAGTATCTCGTCTTCTGGATACACAACCTGTGGCATAGAACTGTCTCTGCGACCGTTCAGAAGTATGTTTGGAGTCACCGGGTCAATGTCACTTACATCTGACGACACATAACCCAAAGGCTTTGAGTTTAGGATTCCTTCTACTTCGGCCAATACAGTCTGGAGTACTGGTTCTGTGACACTTTGATCTCCGAGGGCAACTCTAAGCCCATACTTCACTGATTTAATTTCTCTCTCCCATACACCTCCAAAGTGTGGGGCACTTGGCGGGTTAAAGTGGAAGCGAATCTTCTGTTTAGCAAGTTGTGTTGTTAATGATGGCACCATTACTGCCCATGCCTCATTGAGTTCCTTGACTCCTCCTTTGAAATTGGTTCCATTGTCTGACCAAATCTCAAATGGCTTCCCTCGACGTGCTATGAAACGCCGTAGTGCCATCAAGTAGGCATCAGTGTCCATTTTGTCAAGCAGGTCGATATGACTCGTTTAAATATCTGTCCAAAACATAGTCAGAAAGATACCTCGGAGGTCGTCTGTCGCGCGACGAAAACCGAGCACCTCTCTCGGCTGGCTGACGAATTTCATCACTGTCGTTCTTACCGGCAATGGCAACGTTCATATTCAATGGCAACGTAAGACTGGGGTTACCATCCGGCTCGCGGGACCATGAAAAATCTATCAGGGCACTTCTCAGTCAAGTGGTTGTCAACTTCAAGGCAAAACAGGACACGTGCTCTCATCTCGCGTGTATTACCCATAATGTACAGTACCAAAAGAAAAAATCCGGAAAAACAACACAGTCCTCAGTTAACCGGACGAGTCGCAGATAAATTGAAATCCGGGCATAGGGATGCTTCTCGACACCTGGGCCCATTAGGCTAGCCCACAGCTCAAGGATCCGAACTGATAGGCAGGAATTGGAATTATAAAAATGGTGTGAATTGTGATTTTCACTAAAATAGATAATTGTTAAATAGGTTTTCATATTATTATTTATTTACATATCTGTCTGTATTTCATTCATTCATTCATTCATTCATTCATTCATTCATTCATTCATTCATTCATTCATTCATTCATTCATTCATTCATTCATTCATTCATTCATTCATTTATTTATTTATTTATTTATTTACACTCCACAGGGCCATTTGATGAGCCAATAAACCTGACTTAATTGTCACTCTTTTATGGTAAAATATTTACTCGCCTGGATAGGTTGGTCCTCACAACATGAATATATTAATGTGAGTCAGCCACAAGGCGCTTTCACAAGCCACGCCATATCATACTGACCCAGATAGTGGTCGTGTCTGGGCGCTTGTGTCTTTACCATTCGCGGCCCACAGGTGCTATTCCGGGAAAAGCCGAATAGCGCTTCTTGCAGGTTACGGAAAGGGGCGAATGATAACAAATGGTCCGTGAAAGTTCATTCGCGTTGTTTCGGTGAGTCCAAGCGCACCAACTGTCAATTTCGAGACTGCTCGTCACAACACACAGAAAATCAATCTTTTAGGTAGGTAACATTTCATATAAAGTTATGTCATCATAACTAAACAATATAACAGTTGTAGTCAGCTAAAGATCAGTGTGAAATGCGATATACCCAGGTGTTTATTTGGCGTGTTTAACACTGTTGCATGAGCCGTCTGGTATAAACTAAACAAGTCATCATATTGACATGTGTTTCCATCATGTTAGCTGCATGATCCATTGCGGAGTCATTGACTGTTGCTGTGTTTTGAAAAGGCAGAATGAGTGCGGGAAGGTGGAAATGTAAGGTGCTTATGTGAAAATCAACAGTCATATTCCTTGGGCGGATCCCATTATTTTCAACTGATAGTTAGCTTTGCACGTAAGGCACGTGCGGAATATGCCCGCATGCAGCACGTGCGGTACGGTTCCACATAACCGGGCTTCTGTTAAACGAGAACTGCCCCTAAGACTAACGCTTTGTCCCTGAATGTATATATATGTATATATAAGTTTGATACTGACAAAAAAACAAACAATTTTAATTGAAAAAGAGACCCAGTGCATTGAGAGATTCACCTGGGGAAATCTAGACTGCCCTCATTTGGAGCTTCAGCATTGCAGGGAGGGCAAGGCAGAGGGGAAATAATGTGGTTCAGGGACTGTGAGACAGACTAACTGCCCTGTACGGATTATCTCAGACACATGGAGGACGACTTGTTACTCATTCTGAATACTGGCATTTGTATCAAGATTCAGTCAATTAACCAAAAACCTTTGAGATTATCGTTCTATGCATAATCATCCGCGAATATCAGCGGACAATTCAACACTAAACAACGACTATACACATAACAAATTTGGAGCACGACAATCGGATTTGTTTCAAAACAACCGTATCACTGAGTTATTTTTAGTCGATATTCCGGACCGCCGCCATATAGTTGGGATATTGCTGAGTGCGGCGTAAAACTGCTACATTCCGGATGGCGATATACCCCCGTTGCATGACTGGACAGGTTGGCCTTCATTCTGTCGCATTCTGTATAGCTTTAATGTAAAAAGACAAACCATTCACTCACTATTCTCACAAACATAAGCTTATTTTAAATTATCCAACAAATTGATTTAGCAAATTATAATTCAGTCGTCTTTGAATAAGCCATGATGCATGAGCCATTTAGAATAAATTTCGGCATTACAGTTTTTATTAAAGTATATACAATATTTCTATACTATATCTCAGTCTCAACTCACTTCTGAACTGAGCAAAATTTGTTAAAGCAGAATTCGGCTTGCATTTGTACAGGGAATATTTCCCAATAATATGAACAAGTCAAACACAGAATCGGTAAAAACATTTTTTCCACAGCCAAAATTATCAGTTCCAAAGTGAGTTTGAGATTATGGATGTGATCACAGCCGTCTGTTTAGCAGTAAACTTGACCCCCTTTGGCTGATGTCACTATGACCTTAGGACCCGTGAAAAGATAACGTATATCTAGGTGTCTCGAGGTCACACGACTATTGTTATGTTTGTTGTATAACGCCCCTTGGCAATTTTCCAGCTGTTGGCAGAGTTCTGTAAATAACTGAAGACCAATTCTACCCGGATCTTCACAGATGGAAAATCAAATCTGGACATGGGGTGGAACGAGCGACTGCTTCAACCGCTGGGTTTCTACACCGGCCCGAAATCTAATTTAGTTTGTTTGTTGTAAATGTCAGCACTCAGTAATTTATCAGCTATGTGACGACGGTCTGTAAATATTCGAGTCTGGGTCAGATAATCCAGTGATTGATATCTTAGTAACCTAGCGAGCATGACCATCGATTCCCCGTACCTCATCCAACAAGCTTGGCATTTGAAGACTAATTCGAACCCTGATTTCCACGGGTGGGCAAGGGGTGCATGCGATTTTGCATATTTTTCAATAACATCTCAGGCCATGATAATGCCTCGCGGTTGGGTAGCCTACAGCTTGTGGTTAAAGTGTATATTTTGTCATCCCAAATACATGATTCTAGAAGATCATCAGAGGAAGTTTAAAGCCCCATATGGGTACAGTACGTGAGGACTATTTTGGTATCCCCTGCCCTGATACCGCTGGAGTAGGGCGGCGTAAAACCATACTCACGCTCAGTCGTGACAACACGTCGACATTTGATGATCTAATTTCACAAGTGTTCATTTGTCCTTGCACACAGTACACACTACAGACCAATGACACAAACCCAACACACACCCACACACACACACACACACACCTACCCACACCACACCGCACACACGTACTCACACACACACACACACACACACATGCCACATACACATATCACACTACTCGCACCACATCGCATCACACCACACACCAAAGCACACCACATAAAACACTTAAAGGTGTTAAATCCGATCCTCTTACACATCCTTCTGCCTGTTCAATATATTGGATTTACTTCTGTTTTTTCAGTTCATCCCACAGAAGACTGAACTTTCAAAATGGGTATTGGAGGCTTATGGACCTACTGCAAAGACAACCTTCCTTCTTGTGGACAGAGAGTTGACTTGGTCCAAGTTGCCAAGCATCGTGGTGGAATTATTCTCCTGGTGGATTACTACTCCTTTGAGTTCCTCGTCATTGAGAAACTTTGGTCCATCATGAATAGAACTACGGATAACCCGTACCTCAAATATTCCGGGGGAGAGTACCACACACTTAACGACTATGTCACAAAGTTCACACAGGATTTGAAGAGTCTTGGCATAGAACTGGAATTCGTTGTGGATGGTGCTCAAGGAACCTCACCGGAAGTACTTGATACAAAAACTCCAGTTTGGAAAAGACGGTATGCTCAGTATTTGAAGGACCAAAGACACATCATCAGTATGTTAAATGGGGAGATAGAGGTGCATAACCTGAGGTGTTCACTACAGCCTGTTCTGCTGACCATGCAGCTCCTGGCTACACTGAAAGCTTGTGGATGTACAGTTCACTGTGTCTCAGAAGAAGCTGATCGTTTCATTGCCTTAAAGCTGCAGACTGACCCGAGAGCATTTGCAGTTTTGAGTAACGACACTGACTTTTGTGTGTTCGAAGGAGGAGCAATGATCTACAGTCAGATGTTTGATATGTGTAAGAACATCAAACTTATGCCTAGAACATTGCTGCCGATGAAACCGAGCAAACTGATGTGCCAGGTTGTTTCGGCAGAAAAAGTTCGTGTATAGCCTTGGGGTATGTGTCTAACGCTTTCTATACTTTCAAATTATATGAATGTGAGTATGGGGATATATGGATTTTGTACGAAAGACAAATGCTGGTGATCTCGGGCTCCTTTCACAAAGAACTAAGGTGATTGTAAGTCACTAAGGTAAATGTTAAAGAATGGGAGTTAAGGTTAATCTTAGTAAAAGGTTGCTTCTTGAAAGGATCCACAGATTACCAGGATTTGTCTTTCGTACAAAGTGGGGCGGTGGGGTAGCTTAGTGGTTAAAGCGTTGGCTCGTCACGCCGAAGACCCGGGTTCGATTCCCCACATGGGTACAATGTGTGAAGCCCATTTCCGGTGTCGCCCGAAGTGATATTGCTGGAATATTGCTAAAAGCGGCGTAAAACCATACTCACTCACTCCCTCTTTCGTATAAAATTCACATTTAAACTGTGTCATTAGGACTCTGGTAACGTTATGTGACAGATCGTTCTATTTCGGATTTATGGCATTTTTATAGTGCTTGCCCTGAAGCAGTAGTGTAACACGGATACCCCACTCAGACACCGTATACTGACATCAGACAGGCAAGTCACCTTAAAGCGTAGCGCCAGGCACGGTAAAAACAAGTACCAACCCTTTAAGTACATTATGGGGCTTGTTCGAACACACGTTTCCATTGGTGTTGTGGTCATAGTCTGTGTCCTTGACACCACTGACATCGCAGCCGACGAAGCTAATCAGTCAGAATGGCGAATACCTGCGGCGCGTAAACGGTTCTTCACTGTCTGGGCTTAAATCCAACGCATTCCTGGTATGGCATGTCCTGCACTGCAGTTGCGACACGTGGTTGACCGGGTCTAGGTTGACCCTTGCGTCACTTCCGTTGTCTTGTAATACAAGGACCCGTAAGTAGGACACAGCACTTCACGAGACCTTAGTACTTCCGGTGACAAACAACGTTTCATACCTTTTCGAATGGTCTCGAGGTTGTCAGTTGACAGTGAGGAACTGATAAAATCCTTGCAGGAATAACAAAGTTCCGATCTAACCATTCCCCATATTAGCCAACTATTATGACTCACAACAGCTGTGACAGTCAAACATGGTTATACACTTTGTCCGGTCTAGTGAAATCATATTTGGCGGTCGCGCAATTTGGAACCAGAACTGGTTCTTGAATATACTCTTGTCACCGGAAATCTGGTACCGGAAGTAAGCTGGGCCCCGTCTGGTATATCGCAAGTTGGCGCGCGGAAAGGTAGCCGGGAACCAGCTTAGTACCAGAAATAGCGCCTCTCGAGCCTTACAGGCCCTATAGTGCTTGGCGATACGTAGAAAATCCTGGCTACGACCGCAGCAGAGTTGCCTGTCTGCAGTCGGCCGATGACGTTGTTGCTTTGAGCTTCTGTCAGTCGTGGCATGTTTTAACTGTACGCTTGCTGTAGAATTGTGATGACAGACACAGGTAAACCAACGCTTTCATTGCCCAAAACTTAATGTTGCACGTTCATTTCATGTTAGTGTGTTTTAACTGCCACGCTCCTACGAGGCTGCATTCCCCCACTATATCGGTATTTTTGGGCCATACTTTATTCAACCTGCACAAATTACTCCTGATGCATGAAGACATGAGACATTCATATTTGGTAATCATTTTGTATGGATATCAGCAGAGTGTATTTCTTCAGTTTCAGAACCACCAACAAATGATTGAATTCAGCATTATGGCAGGGAATGACACCACAAAACCGTTTAAGAAGAAGCTCAACCGTCTCCTTGATGGACCACAGTCAATTCAGAATGTTGCCAGATGGGTCAAATTCTACGAATGTGTGGAAAACCATCCAAAATATATACAGATTCAGGTTATAATTGTTATTTGCATGTTTCTGTGAGAATTATACTTTTCTAATTGTAGAATGTTTTATCAAAATCGTGATGAGTTTTCGGCACAGGTTGTACTCTCACATTAATACCTTGACCTTCATCATATGGCGGAAACCAAGGTTAATGTTCAATGCCCCATGATGGAACAGATAAATGTTTGTAATTTCCTGAGAGGCGACTGACGGTTCGGGCAGGCATGCTCGCGGTCTTGTTTGATGAATTTCGTATCATCCCACTGATCTTAAGCACTGGCTTGTTCCCGAATTATTTCAGGTGAACTATTGACTAGACTTAGCATATGTTTATGACGGGTGCCACCGGTGGAGCAGGATACGCTCACCTTTTCGCGAACACCTGGTATCATCACTATTTCGTAGTGATTCATAAACACATGCTCTGTCATCGTATGACATTTTGTGGATGTTGAAAGGGTTTTATCGCTTCTATTGTCTTGTGTGGACTCGTTTGTTTACAAACCAGCGTCATATAGCTAGAATATTGCTGAGTAAAGTCCTGTAAAACATATGGACAAAGAAAGGTGCCAGGTAATTTTTATGCCAAATGAGGGAACGTTTAGACACCTTTGAACAGCATTTCGTAATAGTACGCCTTTACTTTCTTCAGGAGACAATCTGCAAATGCGTTGGCAAGCAGCCCGTTCGATTCCCCACATGGACACAATGTGTTAAGCCATTTCTGCAATTGCATATTGCTTCGGCGTAAAACTGGTCAGCTGTGCAATGCATGAACAGATTAGAAGACACAATTTGAATTTCATTTACTAACACATACTACTTCATCAGGCAGAGTGTCCAAGTCTGCAAGTAGCTGTAGAAACCAGCAGGGCATTCTTCACGTTGGCAGATGTAGCATCAGGGGAACCAAGCCACTCCATAGCAGCCTTACTTAGCAGAGGCATGAGGCAAGGAACCTTCCATTCATCACTGCTTGCCATGCACAACGGCGTTTACTGGGCGACGGTGAACATAGAGCAGCCTTCGTTGTGTGGCAAGACGGCCGAGGCAGCCCTCACTGAGCTCCGGAAGAGGATATACAGGATGGTGCTTCCTGAAGATGTCGTCACCGTCACCGAGTATGGCATTGACCAAACAAGCCAGCATTTTACACCCATACGAGTAAAATATGTTTTGAGGTTCCTCTTGTTCTTAACTATGAACCCGTGAAGGTCTTCAGTAACACATGTCATCGGTACCCACTCGATGCTCATGCTGTTGATCATTGGATTGTCTGGTCCAGACTCGATTATTTACAGCCCGCCGCCATATAGCTGGAATATTGCTGAGTGCGGTGTAAAACTAAACTCACTCACTCTTAACTCTGAAATACAAAGCCTGTTAAATATCACACTCAGAAGACGTTCACCTAATTGCTATATAATTAATTTGTCATGTTAGAAAAAATTCTTAAACTCCTTTGGGTAGCAAATAATGAAACTCCGTCAATTAGGAAACTCTCGGAAGGTTATTGTTGGGAACAACTGGAACGTCTACCCATTAAGACGATATCAAAATGAAGATTTCTGGTCCACGCTTCAGAAAAACCGTCAAATAAATGTAGTCATGGCATGAGATTTGATCACACAAGATTATGCCACCTCACCCCACACCAGTGAAGAGCTGAAAGTGTTACACGTTTATCATGAAATGGTGGTCTGTTATTGATTATCAACTAAAACACATCCAGTAGTTGCTTATGGAGGTATACGGTCCAACAGAGCCAAATTTTATTCAGGACATCCAGCATTCCAAACGAACAATTTTCTTTTCTTAAAATTGATCTATAGTTAGAATACTTCCCGAAACAATTTGTTTTCTCCAAAATGGAAATGGTTCGCAGACAAATTTATGAATTTTTGTTGTTGTTGTCCTGTCATGTTCATTCAGAACGTTACTGACCTTCGCCTGAAGTAATTTAATGAAGATTTGAATAAATGCTTGATGCCATTTCTCTTCTTAAACGTACGTGTCTGTTGCGGGAGATCGTCCACGATGACCTAGTCCCTGGTAGTGATCATTTATATTTTCAGGTTGACGTTGACCAGTACAGATCTGTTCCATCCATTCTGAGCATTTGCCCAGAAGAAGTGCAGGGGAACCTTCAACACTTTGAGCGAATTATCACCCATCAAGAAGATGGGTGTACGTAATTTTATGCTGAAAATAGCCTGAAGGTTAAAACGATTGGTTACAATTTGGTTACCATTTTGAAAATATGCAAGCAAATATCAACAAACAACCTCTTTAAGGTAATGTTTCAGAGACTGAAACTTCCTGTATTTGGGAACAATATTTCACTAATTGCAGTGTTTCTCAACATTATGTCCTCTGCAGTTTCCTAGTCCTTTTGAAGAAAACCATTCCTATAACTGCGAAAAATAGTTTACTGATAGTTGTGTATCACAACCATGTCTCCTGTGCAGTTTCCTTCTCCTGACCTGATTTAGATGGCTTTTGAAGAAAAGGATTCCTTTATTTGCGAACAGTTTTTTACTAACTGCTGTGTTTCTCAACATTGTGTCCTCTGCAATTGCCTTGTCCTGATTTAGGAGGCGTTTGAAGAAAAGGATTCCTATAATTACTGTGTACCAAAGCCTGTGTTTCTCCAGTAACTAAGTCCTGATCTAAGAGTTATTGGGGTCCAGGATTATTTACTGGTCGCTATCAAAACCCTTTTTCTCTTCAGCCACCAAGTCCTGGTTTGAGCGCTATGGAAGGAGAACAGGCTTTCTGTGCCACATCCTGCGTTACTTCCTGCTGCTCAACAGGAAGCACAATTTGCTCATCACTGAAGATGAGTTCTGTGCACTGTTCGCCGTGGTGTTTGGCTCCAGCGACGAGAGATGGCACCAGGGACTTCGCTTAAAGCCTTCCCCGCGATGTGCAACCATAAGCACCTGGTTCCAGGTCGGTACGAACAGGACATGATTAATGTGCTGGAACTAATTTTGTTCTGGGGAGCTACTTGGGGGTCATCAATTTTGTACACATGTACTAGGGGGATCAGCAATTTTGTACATAAAAATATTTAAAAATTATGCTTTGAAACTATGGGATGGGGAGGGGTGTCATTGATTTTGTACATGACATGCAGGGGTGGGGTTGGGTGTATTCATTCACATTGTACATGCGTCTCCATAGAAATCACCCCCCCCCCTAGCCATAAATTATGAACGGTGCCTTACCTTGTGGGGAAAACACGGATTTTTCCTAACCTCCACTTGTAAAGGATGGACTTCATGACATGGAAGCGGCAAAACAGTGTATCATTGAGCGGTGATGTCGCCTAACTGTTAAAGTGTTCGATTATCACGTCGAAGACACGGGTTCGATTTTCTATATCTGTACAAGGTGTAAAGTCTTTTTGCTGTAGCCTCGCCAGGATATTGTTCAGGGCGGTATAAAACCTCCATGACGTTCGTTCCATTAGCAGGCACGTGATCAATTGGTCCGGGATTTCATTAGCCTGTATTATGATCATCTCCTCCGGCATTCACCTTCAGGCAACCGTGGTGTACTCCGTGGTGTAGTGGTTAGTTTGTTTGTGAAGATCATTTCACACCCTGCCTTTCCCCAGTAGTCGCATCTGACCGCCTCCCTGGTGTAGTGGATACAGCGTCAGCCCAGAGAGCGGAAGGTCGCTGGTTCGATCCCCAACTGCGTCATACCAAAAGACGTTAAAATATGGTACTTGTTGGTCCCTGCCTGGCGCTTGGCGATGGGTACAACAGGGACTGGTCAGTATAATGTGTCTGAGTTGGGTATTCATGCTTCACTGCGGCATGGTATCTCAGTGGGCTAGCACTATAAAACCAGCTTAAGTCTGGGCTAGTACAAGCAGCTGCACATACGCATACGCACGCATGCAAGTCATCATATGAGCGAAATATTCTCAAGTACGACGTCAAACCCAATTTCACCTCACCCCCCACCTCACCTTCAGGCTGCGCACACGACACGCCAACAATAATGGGTACATTATTTATAAGATAAAATTATTAAAAAATCACATATATTTAAATGTTACCATTAACCATAGCAAAGGAACCTATCCAAACATCAACTTAACTTACTAAACTGACTCCCCTCCAACCACCAAGCAACCCACTCCCTCCATCACTAGTGTTTCCAGAATGTCAAACTCTACGCCTGCAGAATCCCAATTCACTCACTCAATCACCCGTGTTTTCAGAATGTCTACCAACACGCCCACTGACTCCCAATATACTCACTCGTATTTCAGTCGCCTCTACCTCTACACCAACAGGCTCCCAATCCACTCACTCACTTACTCGTGTTTGCAGGTGGTCTTCCACCACGCCCACAGACTCCCAATTCGCTCACTCACTCGTGTTTCCAGAATGTCTACCTCTACGCCCACAGACTCCTCGGAGGGATCTTGTATCTGTCTGCCGAGTTCCCTACACCAGCAGACATCTTCTCCGGTGCTGTATGGAATTCATTTTATGCTTGTCGCAACTGCGAAGGTAAGAAAATTAGTAAAAGGTAACCCCCTCCTTTCATGTCCATCAAAGTAAACCTTGACGTCCCCGATGGAACCCATACTTCCATAGCATAATATACACCACATGAATGCGAGGCGACCTTACATTGTAACTCACTCACTCATGGCCACCCAAAAATCAATCTGTAGGAAGTCAATAACTATGCATCTTATTTCAACTTTAAACATTCGTGAAGAAATGTTAGTTTTGAAGTTAATTTGAAGTTTCCGCTTCTCACATTGTTTCGTTTTATATCCAGAAATGCCGCCATCAGCTGTCAGTCGTTGTAAGAATGACATGGACCAGACAGCGTCTTTCAGGGAGAACAGGGTCATCCTGAAGGAAATAGTTGATGATCTCTTCGGCTAGAACGGAGGGAGACCAAACCGTGTTGTTCTGAAGGAAATAGTAGATGATCTCTTCGGCTAGAACGGAGGGCGACCAAACCGTGTTGTTCTGAAGGAAATAGTAGATGATCTCTTCGGCTAGAACAGAGGGGGACCAAACCGCCTTGTTCTGAAGGAAATAGTAGATGATCTCTTCGGCTAGAACTCTTCGGCTAGAGGAGACCAAACCGTCTTGTTCTGAAGGAAATAGTAGATGATCTCTTCGGCTAGAACGGAGGGGACCAAACCGTCTTGTTCTGAAGGAAATAGTTGATGATCCTTCGGCTAGAACAAACCGTCTTGTTCTGAAGGAAATAGTAGATGATCTCTTCGGCTAGAACGGAGGGGACCAAACCGTCTTGTTCTGAAGGAAATAGTAGATGATCTCTTCGGCTAGAACAGAGGGAGACCAAACCGTCTTGTTCTGAAGGAAATAGTAGATGATCTCTTCGGCTAGAACGGAGGGGGACCAAACCGTCTTGTTCTGAAGGAAATAGTAGATGATCTCTTCGGCTAGAACAGAGGGAGACCAAACCGTCTTGTTCTGAAGGAAATAGTTGATGATCTCTTCGGCTAGAACGGAGGGAGACCAAACCGTCTTGTTCTGAAGGAAATAGTTGATGATCTCTTCGGCTAGAACGGAGGGAGACCAAACCGTCTTGTTCTGAAGGAAATAGTTGATGATCTCTTCGGCTAGAACGGAGGGAGACCAAACCGTCTTGCTCATGTTACCGGAAGGTCTACCTCTTTCTTTCAATGCGAGTTTTCAAAAGCACTGGGCATCACCGAGAAGAGTTGCGTTCATATCAGACTAGATTTATCTTGAGTTCGAATCCCGGATTTGTTCTATTTATGATTCTTGGTTTATCAGCACCATACCGGTACCCGTCTTCGTTTTGTCTAAAGTGGTCAAAGGTCAACACCTTTTTCTCCCTCACATGAAGTTTACAAGCTGAAATGTATCTGGAATATAATGCAATGCAAAGCTAAATCACTGAAAGAAACATTGAACATGTTGTTTGTTGTTATTTCTTTGAAGGCTTCTTTAATTTGTTCCTCGTTTCTTCGTGTGGTGTTGACGAGAAATACCTATGGTCATAGAGATTTAAATACCTGGTTCAAAAAGAAATACCCATGAAAGAGAAATGATTGTGCTTATAATATTTATGAAATGAAATTTTAAATTATATGTTACATTAGTCAAATCCTTCTTCACAATGTTTGCGTGTTTTCATAACCTATGGTAGTTCTCAGTTTGAAATGAACTGCGATACGAAAAACAAAACGAAAAAGTATTTCATGAAAACGCATTTGCATCGAGCCTGCATGGGGTAACGCGATTTTTACATTTTTAAACAACACTGACGTGTAATTCTTGGTAATTCAAACATCGTTGATGAGATGAATCAAACCTTCCAAGCTTTTGAACTGAGTCCATTGCGCAATTTTAACATATGAGCATGTGTACGTTATACCGGATGTTCTTGAAAATGTATCCTGCACTTCCGGTAGCAACATCACACATGCATGCAAGGAAAGTAATTTATTCCACCGACCGTCACTGAAGCGTCTTATTTGGAAATGTCTACCATAAACCGCTTTGAGAGACTTTCTGAAATCCTGAATACTGAATACTGTGACCGTCATCAAAAGACTGTCGTATTCGTGTTACTGGCCCAAAATGTGTCACGGTTGAATGTTTTGAAAGACGTATTCACTGTTCTCAAACAAGAATAGTATTAGACATTTGCAGGAATTATGTGTTTACAAATAGCTGTTTGTTGAATGCCTTGAAATAAGAACATATGGGTGTTTCCAAATAGCTGTCCACATAGACATATCAACATTATCACGCGAGACTAAAAATCATATGGGCAACAGGTGGGCTCTGGAGTATATTTTTCTATTCTTAAAATTATAAATTTTGCAACGTTAGATAAAAAAACATGCATCTGACACACATGTATAAGTTGTATCCCCTATAGTTGAAGGATAAAGCATTAAATGTCTGAAATATGAACAAATGATAGATCATCAGTGGAATGCGATACTCTCCAAAACACCCAGTGGACTTGTTTAAGACTAAACTATTTATTCCATAAACACATTCATGTGCATTTGACAGTTGTGAGAGCATAGTTAGAAGTAATAGTCAGGATGTTTGGGGGCACACTTTCCTTAAGCCAGAAAGTTTCTCTCATCTTGGCCATGGACGTCATGTTCTAATATTTTCTCATTGTTTGTCTCGGTTGTTCACCAGCTTGAATTGCTTAATTGATCTATCTTTATCAAATCTATGAAATGAACATTGTGGAACAAAAGTTTTAGAGAGGTTTTGCTCGCTTACGCGTACGGTGTTGTATGATCCCCAGGGAGTTGAAATTGATAATACGACGTGCCGTTGAGATTGACATCCAGTGATGGAGGGAAAAACAAAGCTCCTTTGAGCAGCTGAGGTGGATATCGGCGCTATACAAATTGGTTGTATGTATGTATGTATGTAGGTATGTAGGTATGTAGGTAGGTAGGTATGTAGGTATGTAGGTAGGTAGGTAGGTAGGTATGTAGGTATGTATGTATGTATGTAGGTAGGTAGGTAGGTATGTAGGTAGGTAGGGGAGGCAGGGAGGGTGTTAAGCTCCTTCTTTGCAAGTACTTGAAGACTTGGGTAGCCTTGTGGTTAAAGCACGCCGAAGACCCGGGTTCGAATCGTCACATCGGTGCAATGTATGAAGCCCATTTCTGGTGTCCCCCGCCGTGATATTGTTGGAATATTGCTAAAAGTGGCAAAAACTAAACTCAATCACTCACTCAAGAATATCCACTCTCCATAGGTCACGTATTCCAGCCTACCTGACAGACACGTCCCCGCCAAACTATTTGTCTGTATACATTTCTGTGACATCATGTAATGTCCACAAGTAAGTATTTCACTCTCAGGCAGTTTCAGGAATTAGTACCTATCAATCAACCCTTGTATGTCAGGTAATCAACCCGTAATAAAGAAACATGAACGGATGACCACCACCACCACCAACTGACCAGAAGTTCGACAAGTCAGTTTCCAGCATATAAAACCCTTAGGGACACTACCTTAAGTTTCCAAACAACAAACCACTATTCTCTGTCATCAAATGTCTTGTCTTCTCATCAGTCTGTCGCCTATTTGACCCAGGGGCTGTGCGGTGGGGTAGCCTTGTGGTTAAAGGATCGGGTTCGATCCCCACGTGGGTACAATACATGTATGTGAAACCCATTTCTAATGTGCCCCCGCCGTGATATTGCTGGAATATGTTTAAAAGCCGCGCAAAAACTAAATTCACTCACTCATATGGAAGGAATAGTGCTGGATTCAGCATAAGGTGGGTGAATTTAGGTTTACGCCGCACTCAGCAATATTCCAGCTATATGGCAGCGGTCTGTAAATAATCGAGTCTGGACCAGACAATCCAGTGATCAACAGCATGAGCATCGATCTGTGCAATTGGGAACCGATGACATGTGTCAACCAAGTCAGCGAGCCTGACCATCCGATCCCGTTAGTCGCCTCTTACGACAAGCATGGGTTACTGAAGGTTCATTCTAACTCGCCTCTTTCCGTAACCTCCAAGAAGACTCGTCCCCCCTCTCGATGCTTGTTATGTGCGAAAATAAGACAAACCAATCAGATCGAGCGTAATGATTGCGGTGCTTTGATAAAAATAATCCCCAGTACTTAAATCGGTTTGGGCATTATGTCATTGTTTAAAAAACGTGAAAACTGTGTTAACTCGTGTAGATTCTAGTACTGATAGTGTCATGGACGGTGAGAGATTCAAAGACATGCACGTGCGTTTGTTGACGTAACGGCTCTCATGTGGTCAACTGAGTGTATTTCTGACGATCTTGCGGGCTTGTTTTGGAGATTGTACGTGCGCTTCCAACAGATTTAGGAGGTGAGGTGAAATTGGGTTTATCTCGTGCTTGAGAATATTTCGCTCATATGACGACGTGCATGCGTGTGTATGTGTATGTGCGGCTGCTTGTACTAGCCCAGACTTAAGCTGGTTTTATAGTGCTAGCCCACTGAGATACCATGCCGCAGTGAAGCATGAATACCCCACTCAGACACATTATACTGACTCCGAGCCGACCAGTCCTTGTAGTAACCCATTAATGCCGAGCGCCAGGCAGGGACCAACAAGTACCATATTTTAACGTCTTTTGGTATGACGCGGTCGGGGATCGAACCCGCGACCTTCCGCTCTCCGGGCGGACGCTCTAACCACTACACCACGGAGGCGGTACATATTTAGGAAATGCAATTATAAATCTCTACGAGTTTCAAAACAATACTATCATAAGATAAAACAATAAGAATCTGTATGCATCCAATCAACTTTAATCTTTAACATTGGGTTTATTTTTCACATCTCTGAGGATATTTTAGTCTGACTTTTGTTTTTGTTCATTCATATTTTTTTCAGCGAATTCATTTAAAATTCCATCAAAGGGTGTAACAGCAAGTTTACACGAATGTTCAGTTTGAGAAAAAGTATCTGCTTTGGGATTTAATGTAGCTGAAAAACATTTTATTTTTATTTGTAATATTGAAAAAAAACAATTCCAATTTGTGAATATTAAGACCTATTCAGAAATATAATTGGAAATAGAAGATGAACAGCTGGTAATAATTGCATTGGAATGTGTCTTCAACAAAAATCTAAGTATTTTCCCTCTATATGTCATCTATTGCAGACAATATTACAGTGGGTGAGTGAGTTCGCATAGGTGGACCTGTCCGCATTGTGTTTTGGCAGGTATTGACCTAGATAAACTAACTGACGGGAGATAGTGGTATTGTGACTTACATATAGAGACAAAGTAAGCATGTGTCAGACCGACTGACAAAGAGTTTGATATTACGCATGTGCTCTGTGATTGTATGTGATTACGCAACATCTGTGAACTACTTACTGACAGACAGGAAACAAGTGAAGAGATAGTGATAGTGATGTGAGAGAGAGAGAGAGAGAGAGAGAGAGAGAGAGAGAGAGAGAGAGAGAGAGAGAGAGAGAGAGAGAGAGAGAGAGAGAGAGAGAGAGAGAGGAGAGAGAGAGAGAGGAGAGAGAGAGAGAGAGAGAGAGTTGGGGCGGTGGTTAGTCTAATGGTTGATGCGTCCGCTCGTCACGCCGAAGGCCCGGGTTCGATTCCCCACATGGGTACAATGTGTAAAGCCGTGATATTGCTGGAATATTGCTAAAAGCCAATCTCACTCACTCACTGTAATATTGTCTGCAATAGATGACACAGAGGAAAAATACTTTGACTTGAAAACATTTTCAGATCAGAAAGGTTTGGATAACTTTGAATCTATTCCATTTTTAGATGATGTCTTTTGGAATACAAACATTTAACGTGTAACAAATGCAAAGAATTTTTGTCACATTAGTTCAAAGGGAAGAGTTTGTTATGTGACGATCAATTTGTATCGAATTCACTGAAGGCTTTGAATAGGTCCAGATTTGTGTTTTCTCCTATCACACAAGTGTCAATATAACCATATTACAGTTGCCTCCCTTTATTCACAAAATCCAGGTGGACACACTTCCTGGGCATTATTATGTGTTTATGAGAAGTTGGTAGTTAGCATGTTAATGTCCCCAGCCGAGGGTGGACAGTGTACAGTGATTTGGTTGAGTTATAATAGTTTAACAGTATTTCAGTTACAGTGAGGGATACCCGTGAAGATCCGGGTTAGAATATTGATCTTCAGTAACCCATGCTTGTCGTAAGAGGCGACTAACGGGATCGGGTGGTCAGGCTCGCTGACTTGGTTGACACATGTCATCGGTTCCCAATTGCACAGATCGATGCTCATGCTTTTGCACACTGGATTGTCTGGTCCAGACTCGATTATTTACAGACCGCCGCCATATAACTGGAATATTGCTGAGTGCGGCGTAAAACTAAACTAACTCACTCACTCACTACAGTGAGGGAGCAATGTTCAGGCAATATCATGGTAGGGGACAC